CCAAAGTTGGGAGCTCCTAGCTGACATAAAACCCCCCAAACAAGAAACGCCAATGTCTTCCTCAGAGCTCTCTGACATCTCTTCATCACTATCCAGTGATGAGGGCATCGCGTCAGTCCCGATTCCAAAGGGCAAACTCGACCATTATTTCAAGCAAGGCTTGAGCGCAACACCGACGTCGCCGCCCGCAAAGAAAAAGCGCCCACCTTCGCCGGCCCACGAATACGTTCTCGCAGACAACCCGGACATTGCTGTAAGTACTATAGATGGTCGATCCTATGTTGCCAAATGCTGCGCGCCTTGGCCGGCAGGAAAGCATTGCTGATCCCTTTGACACGCAGTTCCTCTGCATGTTCCGCTCGCGCTTCAGTGACGCCTTTCCAAAATCATTTCCCCATTATGGGCCGCAGGACATTGAGCGTGGCGTGATAGATCCAATACCTGGCGACCAAGTCGAAAGACTGCTATGTGCTCTGCTGGGCTTGGTGTTGAACAGGAAGAAGGACATCGAGTAGGTCCTCAACGATTCATACACATAGCTATTTTGCCCAAGCTCTATAAGATTTATACATTTCCCCTTTTCTCCACTGACTATGGTATCTTTCGTGAATAGGAAGGGTCATTACACCCGGGCACTAGAGGAGGCAATACAGACACACAACTCTCAATGGCCTCGCGTGTGGAATGGCAAGAATCCCCTTCATGGGGGAGGCAGCTTCAACAAGATGAGCCCGGAGGAGCGAGTGCGTGTGGATAGAAGCTGCTGAAACGTATGCCGATCGCTGACTCATTGTGCACAGCTTACACTCCTCAAGGCGCTTGCCATATGGTCACTTGAGTCCTCAGAAGCCGTGAAAGCCATCATAAAAGAGTCATACAAGCAGTCTCGTCACGATGATGATCTCAACCAGCCTCTTTCGGTGCAAGCCTGGGGTCGAGACGGCGACAAGCGCAGGTTCTGGCTCATCGAAGGGCAGGACGACACGCATTTCCGACTCTACCGCGAAAGTAACCCGGCTCTGAAGAATAACACATGGCGCAGCGTTGCGGGAACTATCGATGAGGTCAAAGAGGTCGCCCAGCGTCTGGATGAGGAGAATACCCAGGCTTCACGGCGGTTGCGTGACCGCATAAATGCAGCTGTACCTCGTTTTGAAGCATCTGAAGAGGTCAGTCCATTAAGTGGGGATATTGTGACTCTATCTAAGACGGCTGATGATACTGTTCCAGAAACGAAGACGGAGAGACTATCGTCTGGCTCGCAAAGCACAATTCGTACGGCCGGAACCAGGCTTCTCCCTCTACGAGGGTCGGACCCGTGGGAAGCGACCAAGATATACTTACTCGGATGAAGAAGACGAAGGCTCAGACGCGCTGTCTACACGACGATCGAACCGACAATCGGGCATCTCGACTCCGGCGGAGTCACATGGACCTACCTTTACGGCCAGCGGTCGACAGGTCAGATCTAGGCACGGTGGTGCATATGGCGAAATAATGTTGAGTGGGCAGCAAGATGCCACGGGACACTCTAGAATCGGTGATTTAGACGGAGCCGAGCACGACGACGATGAGGATGAGCCAGTAAATCGTGGGCTCCCTCGAAGGGCTGCGCGACAGAACAGAGTCAAAGCCAAACCTCTTTCCGGAAAGCACACCGAAGTTAACGACTCTCTGGGTTCAATGGATGACGAAAGCGACGCGACTTCAAGTGGGAATGAATGGGACGGAGGAGACGAAGATGAGCCTGATGACCACGTTGATGACGACGAAGAAGATGAGGATGTTGATATGAGTGACAATTCAGGGGCTGAAGAAGAGGGAGACGACCCTCGACAAAGCCTGGTGGTGTCTTTACGATATATAAAGAGCCGCCCCTCTCCACCGAGCCAAGACACGCCGAATGTTGCTGCAATCTCTGAGGACCACAGTATTGCCCAAATGCCGAGCAGCAATTCAAAGGGATCGTCAGAGACGGCTTATTCGACAGACGACCTAACCAAGCCCTTACAAGATGCGCCCAAATCCACCCAAGATGCAGCGCATACCCAATACTCAAGGTCCACCGCAACTGCGAAATACGCTGCTCCCACAGACCCACGGCTTCAAGCCGGCCACTCTGGTCAAAGCACCCCAATTGCTCCAGAAAAGTATCACACCCCATTTCATCCCAACCACTCGCAGCCTGAGGAGCACCCTGCACCAACAGCCTCATGGTCACGCCCAGAAACAGGCGTGGTGGCACCTAATCGCACTCAGATGTAGCTGGTTACCTACATCAGTGTACACGCTCCTGTCGAAATCTTGCAGACGCCCAAGGTGTCATACTGTAATATTAAGAGTAGATTGCAGTATTTTAATGGACTCATTGTTGCCTTGAACCTCCTAGACAGCTTCATAGCTCAGACAAACCATGAATTCGTATCAAGCTCACTGGTTTCCGCTCTTCTTGTGCGGTGCTATCTACACAATCTGTTAAGAACGAGCCATTGACCCCGAATCAGCCAACCCCATAGCCTGCTCTGCATTCCAGCGCGCCCAGATGGCAATATACTGCTTTGATAACAGTGCTGCTAGTTCGTGCCCTCCATTGTTCACACAGCCTCTGTCACAACAATGTGAAGCCGCCTGCGCCCGAGACTCCTCATCGAATTGGGCGTGAGCGCTTTGCTGAAGAATGGCTTAACATCTGCCTCCGATCGGCTCTAATGATCCCCAATGTGGCCTGTATGTGGTATGCTATACCGCCCGCGATTTCGACCGAGCCCCATAGCCAGCGCTTCCCAACCGTATGACTCGGGACAGCAATATGCATCCATCCGTCATTTACTCATCCCTTGACTTCATCCTCTGGAATACTCGGAATGCTCCAGTTATTTACCCCCCACCACCATCGTCTGACCTTACCCCCCAGGTTCCGCCCACTGAACGAAGCGCCTCTGTTCCAGTGCCTCCAGCCACTCAACGCCAGCGTCCACAACGTCCCCTGAACAAGCGGCAACAGGACCTGATCCCTCCCTGTTATCCACGCAATTCCATACCAAGTATCCACCCCGTGTAGACTTGCCAAGTAGCTCTGTTCGAAACGGAGGTCCGGGAGAGGAGGGAGATTTGTGCGGCGAGGGACTGGTTTGACTGCGGAGGAGGGGATGCTGTTTTCGGAGCTGGCGATGGAGGTTGTGGGGGAAACGGGGCGTTTGGTGGAGGCCGCGGTCGAAGGGTTGAGATCGTGGGCGGGATCAGGGTTGTGTTTTATGGAGGCGGATTGGATGGTGGAGGCTATGTCTACTGCTGGGTTTGACATTGTGGGCGATGCTGCGGTGGTTGTTGAGAATGAATTGCGGTATTCGGTCTTGGAATTGTACCTTAGCGTTCGCGGGTAGAGCTCCGACTCAATGCGCTAGCCTAGTTTGGCCGCAGATGTCAAAAAGTTAACCACACGAGTATGATATTCCTTCGGTATCTGGCCGTTCCAGTCCAATTTCGCTCACAATGGCGAGCCGACGGGTACCATACGTTCTCCAGTCACTATCCTTGAGGAAGAGAAGTTTTCGGAATTTCCAATGCCTCTACTCGAGCCGCAAAGCATCAACCTTCAATGGCATGACCGAGCTCTCCGAGGATGTCGATCCCTTGTCCTCAATGCAAACCCCCGGACCCTCAGAAGAGCATCGCGCATCATTCGACCCCATAGCACGAAGTAGACGACGGAAGACGCCCTTACCATCCAGCAGGTCAGCCTCCGCACTCTGCACCTTTAACCATTCTATTACTCCTCTCGACCCCCTACAGCATCCAGTTTCCTTGAACGCTGTCCGCTTACATGCCCCAGATACAAATTCCGATCTCCAAAATACTACCGCGGCCCCCTCCACCCGCATCAACCACCGCCCGCCACCGACCCCGACTCCCGCGAATTTATCCCGGGGCCCTTCTCCCTCCCCCGTCTCCAGCAAACCTACCACTCAACCGTCGCCCCCGATCTCCTGACCCTGATGTACAAACATCACCCACCCGGCACCCTCCCCGGACCCTCAGAACCCCGTCTGCGCTCTTGGGACGGCAGCTCGCCATATCACAAGAACCGACCACTGCGGGGACCGAGGGGAGGACCTACGCTGCTGCTACTGCGGCGGCCCATCACTTTCAGAAACATCCCGAGGCTCGAAAAGATTCACGTCCACAGCTTCTTGAAGGAAGCCGGCTCCGAGGCCGCCCACCTGCAGGTGGCAGGCATGATCATGCAGGCCATCACCAATGTGCGCGCGACCGTGTTCCGCGCCAAACACACCATCGCCAATTTCAACCTGCGGAAAGGAAGCCCTTGCAGCGTAGGGGTGGAACTAAGGGGAGAGGATATGTACAATTTCCTCGCCAAGGTGACCGAGGTGGTGATGCCAAGGATCAAAGAATATAAGGGTGTGAGGGGGAAGAGTGGAGATAGCAGTGGGGACATTGCGTGGCGATTTGGATCGGAGACGGTGGGGACGTTTCCGGAGATAGAAATCAATTATGATGCGTGAGTGGTCCTATGCTCTTCACCTCTGTTGTTACGGGATGGATTGGGGGAAAGGGATGTTGGTATGGGGTGTTGACTGACATGTTAGAATTATAGATATCCGCCGAAGATGATTCCGGAAATCCATATCATTGTTTGCACAACGGCTACGAATGATAAGGATGCGAGATTGTTGTTGAGCTCGATGGGCGTGCCATTTCATGGGAAGCATGTAAATTAAATGAGCCGGGCGTGTACAACATACGGGTCTCAAAGCGATTGTATAGCATGCGGGAAGACCCTATCCGGATGGCCCCAAAGCAGCAGTCGATGTATCTTTCCCACTCCACAATCCACGCTGCGTATGTACGGACTGGCAATGTCTACCACTGTACCAATCTTAGACTAATCCTAACTCCAGCGCTATGCCTCATGGTGTTACTTTTCCTTTGCCGCTAATGTTCAAATACACGCTCCAAAAGCTCGACCCCTTCTGGCAAGATCACATCGCCGAGCACTCTCTGTCAGGCTTTCCATCTTTGTGCCTTCCCTTCACGAGGTGCTGATGATCCCGGCGATGTGCTCTGCTTTTCTCCTTGGCTTCCTTTTTTAGAGTCCCCTTGTCGTGAGCTTCCTCATCTCCGGTCGAGGCAGCTACGGGAATCCCAGGGACTTTTGATACATGATCTTCTGCTTGGGTTGGCACACCGAGCGGGGTATTGAGTTTGTCTCGTGACATTGCGTTTGCTAATCGAGATAATGATGTGCTCATCCTGTTATCGTCCACTCGGCTGCTGGGTCTGCTTTTCGAACTCGACTTCGTAGCCTTGGAGCCTCGGCGGGAGGCCGCCAGAGTGTTGAGCCCGTTCATTTGCCCCAATCCAAGGTTTGGTGTGGGCGAGAAATCGATATTGGCGCTGCTTACGCTGTCGTCGGCAAAGCCGACACTTTGCCGCCTCTCAACGCTGGACCGGCCTCGAGGATCCTCATCGGATGCCGAAGCATCAAAACTTGGCCTGCGAATCTCAAAACTAGGCCGTTGCATCTCGGAGCTCCCACTCTGATGTGAGGGGACGGTCACAGAGAGGCCGCCGACGGCAGAGTCAACGTTTGAGTCACGACTAATAGCTGACTCCGAATAAGCTGGAGGGTTCTCACTGCTTAGCACTTGCGTTTCGCCATCCGCGATATTGGCTGGGTCGCCTTCAATTGGGATGACTTGGTAGAACAAGAGGTACGGAGATTCCACGCCAAGGAACTGCTCGACGTTGGTGTAGGTAACCCTCTCCTTGGCCAAGTCGTCGAAGCGCATCCACCGATCTTCGCCGTTTTTCAGTGGATCTGGGCTACGGACCAAGCTGATGTAGTGGCCCGATTCGACGGAGACGCCTTGATGACAGACTACTGTTTGTAAAAAGAGTTTGAAATTGCCGAATGCAGGACCATCTTCGGCCAGTCTGTCGTCTTGGATGAAATGAGGTAGACCGATTTCTAATGGAATATCGATATGTGTTTTCCGCTTGACCGCAGTCCCGTTGGGTAGCATGGAATACCTTTTCAAGCAAATGCCGAGGATAGGTCTTGAAGATGAGAAGTGCGCAGCAACTTGGGCGTCGTTACTAGGCACGTTGTTCGTATACCAAGGTATTAGACTAAAGAACTGCCAAGCAGGCATCATGACTTCCTTTCTCAAACGGCCACCCCGACCTCTTGGCTCTTCGGCGATAGATGGAGAGCGAGCAAGAATTCCAACTTTTTCATCTATGTAATGCTCTTGGATGATGCTAGGTGCTCGATGCCGTTGGTGAGTTAACGCTATTGGCGAGACTGGTATTGCAGACACCTGCGGCTGCAGCACCTTGGGCGACGATGGTGGTGAGTTGTCGAGTTCGGCAACCTCAAAATGCGAAGCGTGGGCTTTTGTTGAATCAAAGGACTGGTGTGAGCGTATCGAATTGAGAGTACCTCTCCGCTCAAGCGAGTCGAGATATCGTTTCACTTCGATCTTATTGTTGAAGAACATCTCGAGGCACTCCTCAAGAGTGATCACATGTCCATCAAGAGGCTCTTCGGGGATGGCAAGTTCCAACAACCGCTCGTTGATAAATTTGTGATCATCGTTTGTGTCTTCCTTCCCAGTGTGGAATATATCCATTCTAAAAGTAAGCAAAGGTAGAGCAAGGGTGGACGTGATGAATGTAAAAGCCTCAGAAGCATCCTGCTGACACAGCTCGGCGGCTTCTGTCCAACCGCAATGAGATAGTTGAAGTTGTATTTGCTTTGTCTATGTCGAATCAGTTTGATGTTGCATCTTGTGGTATGCCAACATGGCAACGTACGATATCCGTGGTGATCAATTTTCCTGCCCTGAGAATATTTACCCATAGTCTCAGCAAAGTGGCCAGGCGTTTCCTAGGCGCATCCTCGAAATTCTTGTATAACATTGCTTCAAAGCTGCCCCTAGCGAACATGGCGAACAGCAGCGCGTCCAAGTAACAAGTGACTCCCTCCCGGTTGATTGCTCCAAGTAACTTTACATTAGGATTGTAGTCCCGGATGATGCCTTCCTCCGACTCTTTCAGCAGCGAAAGCAGTTCGTATGCTTTCCCCGAATCTCCTTGGGCATAGGCGCCAGTCAAAACGTACGCAATGTCGTCGTCTTTGAAGGTTGTGATTCCATTCCGCGCAAGTCGTTGTGAGAGAGTTTTAATCTATCCTAGTCAGTCCCACATCCAACGTTTCTTGTCGATATCACACCTTCTTCTCCTCCTCTTTTTCAGGGGGCTTGACCTCTTCGCCCTCGAAGAAACCGTTGAGGTGCCCACTATAGCGTTTAGGCTGCAGGAGGAAGCCACCAGAGTCAGCAGTGCAACACTCAACCAATCCATCAAGTGCTTTTAGACGTGGGGATCGCTTGGTGACGAGTGTCGAGAATGCTAAAGACAGCGAAGAGAAGGAAGAATAGGAGCTGTTTCTTGATCTTGTGGAGGAAGGAGTCGGGGTCGGCGAAGGCGTGGAGGCTGAAGAAGACATTACTTTATCTTTGTGTGTCCCATGCGAATTCTTGTCTTTCCGGCTAAGAAATCTATTGATAGTGCTCATACTGGATCAAGTATGCCAAAACAAAGTTGGCAGGAGCCGCCTCGGATGCATGTATTCGGGACCGTTGCCTGACAATCCTCACGAAACGGCTTTGCGACGTGAATCTAGGGGCTGTCGACGATGGGCAATGAATCCACAAGTCATTGCTATAAAGATCATTCTCAATTAGAAGCAATGTGAGTGATGTATTGGTACTTTATTGTGTTGACAACTTCGACGGCCCCACATGCCGAGAGAAGCCCCGAGACCGCCTCGCCCAGTAAGCCTAGAATGAAGATCCGCGCGGGAGCATTAGCGTTAGGGCCCTTCGCTACGAAGCTGTCCTGACTCCTGACCCTGAAACCATGCAGGTGCAGGTGCGGGTAATTATGCATCCCGCACATCAACTCAATTGATGAGGTCTATTGTCCGTAGAATGCTCTTCCAACATCCTTTCCCAGCCCACATCATAAGGTACCCCAGCTATCAGTCCTCGTAACGATTGGATTCGGCATACAGTTCACTTGCTATCAAAGTATTGTACATTATAACCAGATCAAATATCTGGGAGCAAAGTCCAAGGGGCACAATCTGGCGCCTCTTCCTACTTCGTAGTAAGGCCCAAAGGACCCATTGCTCTATGTTCAGCCGCGTCGATCTTTCATCATGTCACATAATATTACAGCCGTCTCAGGCCAATCCCTTCAAACAGCTCAATGAAACCCTGAGCGGCCTCGTCCAAGCCGGCAAAGATCCAATCCTGTTCGAACTCCCAAGACCTTCAACTTCCTTTCTATGTCATTCATCAAGCCATTCTGGTCAAGCAATTTGCTTCAAAAACGGCGAGAGTAACAACTCGTTAGCGCTCGGTCTCTTCTCATGATCAATCTCGAACGTCTTGCTCAAGAACTCCTGGCCCTCTTCACTAGCATTCTCTGGCGTGGTCGGCTTCGCACTCGAGTTCCCAATTTGGAAAATTGCCTGCAATTGTGAACAATTTGGGAAAGGATGCGTTCCTGTGAACATCTCCACGATCAGACAGCCCAATGACCAGATGTCCGCTTTGCGGGTATAGGAGGTTTGCTTAACGACTTCCGGAGCCATCCAGAAAACGGATCCTTGAAGAGACGGACGGTGCATGTGGCCACCGTTCTTCTGAGGCTGGAGTAGGGCAGAGGCTTCGACACGCTTGGAGATACCAAAGTCAGAAATCTTAATGTTGCCTTTGTTGTCAACAAGTACGTTGGCGCCCTTGATATCTCGGTGAATGATGTCCCTTCCATGCAGATATGACAGGCCGGCAAGGATCTGGCGGACGAAGTTGCGAATGAGAGGTTCTTGGAGCTGACCATAGGAATTGAGCATCGCTGCCACCGAACCACCAGGGACATACTCAAGGAAGATGTTGAAGTGCTGATCGTCAGAATTGGAGCCAAGGTATTGGACTATGTTCTCGTGCTGAAGATCACGCAGGAGATCAATTTCATGCTTGAGAGCGGCAAGCATACTCTCCTTTCGCTTGTCCAGGGTGCTATTGCTGTGGGCGGACGGAACCTCAACTTGTTTGACTGCCATGAGTTCCCCAGTGACTGCGTGGAGAGCAAGGTAGACACTGCCGAAAGAACCTTGGCCAATGAGGGCACCCTGCATCCATTTGACGTTGTCCCATGAATCACCTTTGAGGAACTGATTTAGCTCTTCATCAGGCTCCTCACCATCTGCGGCGATGGCGTGGGTTAGATGATCGTTGATTGAGCCACCGGCCTCTGTTGTAGGCCCACTGCTGCCTGACTCATCAAAATAGCTCTGGAGCGCTGCGTGCGAGGTGTCGGAATCAGTGCCGTTGGTACCACCCATTTGCGAGTCGCTCTCGAATGAGACGTATGACTTTCTATTGGGCTCAACAGGAGATTCCTCTTGCAACGGCTGAAGAGAGCTGGAGGCGATCGAGTCACGATACTGAGGGTTGGCAAATCGGGAGACAGACAAAGGCCGGGGTCCACGAGCGTTTGAAGCTCCCGTCAGCCAAGCGTCTGCAATATTGGGAAGTGGAGGAGCATCTTTGAGACTCGATGTCCAGCTGGCATTGCTTGCTACGCTGATCCGGCTTGCTGCTTTGCTTAAACGAGCGGACCTCCGCATGGACATTCGGACCGTCCTCTCAATCGTTTCCTTCTGATGATCTGGGAAGTATGTTGTCAATTCTTGGCTGATCAGTTCGCTAGGTGGTCTGCCACCGAGGAATTCCTTTATCTTTGGCTTCGATCGTGAGTCCGATCGGGCCGGAGGGTCTCCCCATCCTTGGGACGTTGAGCTTCCACTTCGGTCTCGTGCTCGTGGTGGTTGAAAGGTTGCTGGAGACAGAGGGTAGGACACGTCACGCCAGGACTCGCCTGTTAGCTTCTGCACTTTAAGCTGGCTGCGAGGATTGTTGGATGAAAGTGCATTGGCATGCATCTCATTCTGTTCCTCCATGGCGATGCTGGCAGCTTTCCTGAGCTCCTCATCATCTGGCTCGCCAGCGTGCTTTTTTCTCAGAATTAGTCTCCCACGCTCATTCTTATCATAAGGATCTGAACAATATTCCACAAGTTCCACATCAGTGAGCTTATGGGTGTTATTCAAGTCTTGACCAGTTCCATCAAGATTCCAAAAGCAGTAGTTCCTGGACTGATTCTCAGGCAGGTTGAGCTTCCTCAGCACACTTAAGATGATATCCTCCAGAGTCCTGCAATTTTTGATGTCCAGTACTTTCGTTTGGCCCCCACCGTAGATAACACGTATCACAGGCGAACCTACGGGGAGTTTGCCGACTGTGGAGTCCATGCCGGGATTTTGTCGGGTCGGTTGACTTGTTTGACTTGGTGTTGATGGTCGTGGACCAGTGGAGGTCTTGGCGGAAGGTGGAGCATTGAAGTATCCGTCCTTCCGGGCAGTCGCCAGAGGGCTCATACCGCCAAGACGTTGAGATCTGAGTTTGTTGACGCCGTCTGACTCGGCAAGGGGCGAGCTTGGTCTCGGGTTGCCATTAGCAGCGTGCATATTATCCAAAGCGGAAAGGTCGACTCTTTGCGACCACCGCTTCCTTGCAGATTCAGAAGTATGAGAGCGATCTCTTGCTGTGTTGAAATCTCGTGGAGAGCGTGATGAAGACGAGGGCGTGTAGGGCGTATGTGCTTGACGATTGTCTAGGGCAGCCAAGGAGTCTCTATTCCGCTTTTTGTGGTTGCCGACAGCTTTTGTTCTCAGCTGCTTGATGGCAACGAATATTCGGACACGATCTCCAATCTTCTTGATTCCCATCTCCTTGAGCACAAGCTGATCACACTCAATAAGGTTATTCCCCGTGACATTGTTCACTAAGAAATCGTCAGTGAACTTGTCCAGGAAACAAGCGTCACGATTCCATGCTATTAGGGGTTCCAGGTGTCCTTGTCAATAGGTAGGGGAGACTCTACCTTTAAATAGCTGCTCGTACTGAGCGCAGTTGATGGCACGCAGCCACTCTCCAACACGTTTCTCGTCCCAGGAACTGCAATGGATCACTGTCAGTAATGGCTCTCGTGATGATACCCTCGCAGCGTCTTCTTAGGATAGATAGCGTACCGGATTGAATCTTGTCCATCGCTGGGCTCCGAGAACTCTGACTCGGTAGGACTCAAAAATGCAGCATTTTGTGAAGTTTGCGCAGCGGAAGCCTTATGATTTGAGAAGTTGAGAGCGTATTGTGAGACCACTGATGGCTGACTGGGACCCATGCCCATCGATGAACCGTACGGAGCCTTGGAGGCAAGGACCGCCATTTTCTATCCACCTCCCTTCGCTGTCCGTCTATTGTGCGGTGTTGAAATGAAGCATTAGATTAGTCCTGCTGATGCGGATGAAAAGGCGATAGACAAAGGATCCAAGGCGGAGGGGCCCTAGGACAAAGCCGGAATGAACTAGATGCTGAGGCTGTACAGCTGGACCGTCGTACTATGCGAAAGATGCAGGAAGCCTCAAGAGATGGTGAATGAGGGATTTCCAGGAAAATAACAGTCAGACTGAGCGAATGTTGGTGGAGAAGGTTTTGCTTTGACGTTCGTGACGGCTTCGAAGACTTTCGGGCGTTTGAGATGTGGTAAGAGGCGGCCAAGATTGCCAGAACATGTGACGACTACCGAGAGTCCGGCTGACGATGCTGAATAGATGAGGAGCTGATAGAAGTATGCTACATACAGCGATCTTTGACGGAAAAGAGGATGGTTCTGACGGCGAGCTGAGCACAAGTGACTAGTGGATCAGGATGCGCCAAAGACGTTTCAAATCAACAGCACTGCTATCGCTTCTAAGTGAATAGATATTATACTACGATCTTGTCTGATGATTCAATCCGCATGTTATTAATGTTGGCTTCAAGTTCACTCGATTCTACACCGTCTGCTCCACGCCTCAATCATTATTTCTCGTAGAACTTTCATGTCTTTTGCAATGGCCACATCCACCAGACGCTACTGAAGCGTTTCAGTTCTATTTTTACCTACGTCATTGCTTGGCACTAATACTCGATAGCGTGTCGACTTCTATCTTCTATACGAGTGCTGTGGAGCAAAGGCCGTTGCCTGATACTTGATTGATATTCGTACTCACTGCTCAGCATCCCTGTGAGGATTGTGATTGTGATTTTGATGTTGACACCGCCTCACCCTCACCACAAATGTACTTCCAATCGCAATTTGCAAGTCATGCTTATGCTGATTTCAGCTTTGCCTCCCCGTCGGCGTCGGCGCGCATCCCGAAACGGGAGTTTGATGCGACCTCTGTCAATCTTCTTACATAGGCCACTAATTGGCGTTAATGATGCCAAGGTTGATTTATTGGCTAAACTTCGCTGGCAAGGCTGTGTTCTATAGCAACGAGAATGGGGGTCAAATGTTGAGACATGGAATCCGAGACGTCCACTGTCACCTAACTCGGTTCCAAAACTCCAACATTGACCATGCTGATGTGGAACGGAAATATTATTCTACTGTAGACGAGCTAGCGTAGACTGGGACGAAGACAATGTGCCTGGAGAGTCGTCGTTGCTTGAGGAGGTCCTTCCGAATCTTGTAGCCTAAAAGAGACCCACTTTCAATTCCCTACAACAACAAGCTCTACTGAAGTCAGCCCATGGAGGACCAATGGGTTGCAAGCACACGGCTTTTGTCTTTATACGGAGGAAAATCGTGAAGCAATGAATAACATGCAGGAGCTAGACGATGCGTCTCTGCCCATTTTCAAGGTCGAAAGGGTACAGCTACAATTCTCCATCTCGTCCGACTTTGTCGCTGCTCAGGTAGCCAACAATGTCCTGATTCTGGCCCTTTCAACAGGGCGTATCTTACGGATAGACCTCGATAGTCCGTCGGACATTGATGGTAGGCGCCCCAAGTCTCCTACAAGTGGGTCTGATTTAACGAGTATCACATAGATATCGATCTGCCCAGAAAGACGTCAGAGATTGGCCTGATTCGACGCATGTTCCTCGATCCCTCCGCCTCCCACCTCATCATCAATACGACACTGGGGGAGAATTACTACCTCCATACACAATCGAGGCAGCCCAAACCGCTTGCGCGCTTGAAGGGCGTCGGCATTGAGGCCATAGCATGGAACCCATCCCTCCCCACAGCATCTACGCGGGAGATTCTCGTTGGAGCTGCAGATGGTAACGTCTACGAAGATTATATTGAACCGTCCAGCGAGTTCTATCGCAATCAAGAGAAGTATCTGAAGGCGGTTTACAAGGCGCAGGATGGACCAGTGGCAGGATTATGGGTAGACCTCATACCTGGCAGGGTGGATACTCGCCGAGTGATAGTGGCAACGCCGAACAAGCTGTTACATTTTGTAGGAAAGATAGGTCGACCTGGACAAGAAGGTTCAGGATCAATATTCACCAAGTTGTTCGAGACTGAAGCTCCAACGCTACATGAGATGACTCCCGGTACCAGGCCTTCACCATCAGCGCTGGCTGTATCTCCGGACTCTCCAGAATCTCAAAGTGGCGAAGGCGATGAGGTTGAGCGCGTGTACGCCTGGCTTTCAGCACAAGGTATACTCCACGGCAAGTTGCAGACAAATACGAGGTCGGCGAGCTTGGGCAGCACCGTATTCAACAACTCCAAGATGATCTCAAGGTCTCAAATACCCCTTTCGCAGAGTGCCAGTGGCCGGAAAAAGCCGACACAAGAACCGATAGCGGGTGTTGCGCTCTCGCAATGGCATGTACTCTGCTTAGTTGAAGGCAGAATTGTAGCATTGCACAGGCTCGATGAACACGTCGTATATGATCAGGTCGTACTCGAGCCTGGTGAGAGCGCGCTTTGCCTTTTGGCTGATCAAAAAAAGAATACATACTGGCTCTTCACTAACGAGGTTATCTTCGAGATTGTGGTGACCGACGAGGATCGAGATGTATGGAAAATCATGCTCAAGTCGCAGCAGTTCAGTCTTGCAACTCAGTATGCGAAAACACCGTCGCAGAAAGATGCAGTGGCGATGGCCTGTGGAGACTACCTGATCAGCAAAGGCCAATATCTTGAGGCTGCCAATGTCTATGGGAAGAGCAGCAGGCCGTTCGAGCAGGTAGCTCTGACTTTCATTGATCACAGCGAACAGGATGCATTACGAAGATACCTTTTGACAAAGATAGCAACATACAGGAGGTCATCCATTATGCAGAGAACGATGATTGCTAGCTGGCTTGTTGAGATCTTCATGTCAAAATTGAACTCGCTTGATGATACCATCACGACCAAAGCACAATTGACAGAGAGTACTACTACTGCAGACACAAAGGATGATCTTGCCAGTGTCCGAACGGAGTTCGAAGAATTCGTGAATAGATACAAAGGCGACCTGGATCGGAAAACTACTTACGAGATTATCAGCAGTCATGCACGAGAGCAAGAATTATTGTCGTACGCCACGGCAATCGATGACTACAACTACGTACTGTCATACTGGGTACAACGAGAAAGATGGCAGGAGTCGTTGGATGTTCTGAAGAAGCAGACCGACCCTTCCATCTTTTACAGGTACGGGAGCGTCCTCATGGTCCACGCCGCAACCGAGCTCGTCGACATCCTCATGCGTCACCCTGATCTCGATCCTCTCAAGCTCATTCCCGCCCTTTTGAATTACAACAAATCAAAATCCAATACTCCACTCGCCCAAAATCAAGCTGTGCGCTACCTTCTCTTCTGTATCAATGCGCTACACACCACAGTCCCCGCTATTCACAATACCCTCATCTCAATATATGCTTCACACCCTTCCCCCTCGGAGAACGCTCTTCTCTCCTACCTTTCCACCAGCTCATTGTCCAACCCTCCACCCTACGATACGGACTTCGCCTTCCGACTTTGCATCCAAAATTCTCGCGTCCAGTCCGCGGTCCATATTTACACCTCCATGGGCTCCTATGCCTCAGCAGTCGACCTGGCTCTCAAACATGGCGAGATAGATCTTGCTTCTCTCGTCGCTGACCGACCCGGCTCCACTGACTCTGCCTTACGTAAGAGGCTCTGGCTGGCCGTTGCGAAGAAGGTCATCAGCCAGCAGGGAACAGGCAGCATCAAAACCGCCATTGACTTCCTCAAGCGATGTGACCTGTTGCGAATAGAAGATTTGATCCCTTTCTTCCCTGACTTCGTGGTCATTGATGATTTCAAAGACGAAATCTGTGCAGCACTAGAGTCGTATTCACGCTCGATAGCTTCACTGGAATCAGAAATGGACGCCTCGGCTGCGACGGCCGAATCTATTAAGACAGATATCAAGCAGCTTGACAGGCGGTATGCCATTGTAGAGCCAGGCGAAAGGTGCAGGGTATGTGAATTGCCATTGCTTAGTAGGCAGTTCTTCGTCTTCCCAAGTTGTCAGCACGGATTTCATAGTGACTGTCTGGGGAAGAAGGTGTTGGATGGAAGTGGATTGACAGTGAGGGGAAGAATACGTGAATTACAAGCGCAAATTGGGCGAGGGGGGAGGAGAGAGAAGGAGGGAAGAGAATTGGATGCTTTGGTTGCCGGTCAATGGTAAGCTTCCTTGATCTGTGAGTATTTGTATTCTGACACCGAACGGTGAATAGTATTCTCTGTGGCGATCTCGCAATCAAGGCAATCGAGGAACCCTTCATCTCTGACGCGGATGACGGTGAGGAATGGGCCATATAGCCTTTTCAGTGAAAGTTCACCGCGAACGATAAGACACTCTTAATGATTGCCCTCAGCATGGTGAAGAAAGCCGCCGCTCCACTTGCTGGAGGGAACATTTTTGAGTGTTTCAATGTTTGCATACACCCATTTGAAGAATCTTCCCTGACACCCCCCCCAAAATCTTCTTCTTCTTCTTCTTCATCTTCTCCTCCTCCTCCTCCTCCTCCTCCTTCCTCTTCTCCTTCCTCTTCATCCAACGAAAACCCACCTGATATAGACCCCATACATCCACTGTACCAACTCCAGATTCGCATCCCTATAACCTAATGTCTACTACTATTGACTTGACAACGTGCCACTGCGACAATCTGTCTTCTCGACGTCCTTGCGCATTTATCGCAAGCGACCACTGCAGCCCTTTTTCCTCTGACGGACGCCCTGAATGGAGATACTCGCTCCCCTCTTGCATCTGTTTGCTTCTGTTTGCGTCTGCCTTGGACTGGCTGAGTTTGAGCGGAGGCATTCCTCGATGGGATTTTCGAATGTGAAAGGTTCGAAGCATTAATCAGTAAGAAACACAAGCAGGCGGTCAAGGAGGTGAAGCTGCTTGAGTGGGTAAATGCCATGTATTGGATCAACTACATAGGTAGCTAATCTTATGTCATCGCATGCGTTTCCTCCAGCCAGTCTTGCTCTTCGATGTTCTGATCCCCAGTCTCCTTCGTGTTCTGTTGAGAGACGGGTGAGGATGACACCACACGGCAAAAGCAAGCTCAACCAGCCAGATTCTACAATGGAGGGTTTGAAGCCCCCACCCACTCGACGTCGTCCAGGCTCTCGCGCGACGTCTTCGCATGAGCATCCCGGCGCCAATCCCGTACCTTTGCATCGACATTCTCCTTCCTGCTACCCTTGTCCCATCCACCGTTCCCAGAGAACACCTTCAACCCAAAACCAGTGCGCCAATTCCCAGTGTTCGTCGCTTTCCGACTCGTCTCCGGCATAGACTCTGGCCCATGATTGTACTGACGCCTACGGTTACCTAGTGCAGACCACTTGTCCATGATGGAACGCTTTGGAGTAGAATCCTGAGTAATCCCCCTTTTTAGAGCAGGAGAGAAATTTCTCTTCGGAGGAGGGGAGTAGCGTGGTGCTGCTTCCTCGAACATGAACACATCGCTGTCGTTCACTGTGTCTGTAGTTGCACGCTTCAACTGGTGGGGACTTTGGGTCCTGGCATTAGCTGAAGAGTCCTTGATCTCTGAAAGACCGCTGCGATGAAGAGTGGGGTCATTGTCTTTGCTCTCCTGGCTCCAAGTTCGGCTATTGTACTCGCGTCTCTTATCGACTACTTCCTCGCGCTTCATGAACTCGTCCTCCTCATCTTCGTCGTAGATGTCGGTCCAGCTTTTCGAGGCTGAGCTATTCTTCTTGCCGAACACGGACGAAAGAGATGTTATGCGTGAGGGCAATGATGAAGGTACAGGAACCGGATTGGAGCGTGGAGGGTGGCGAGGAGCGGGAGCTTGCAAGGCCATCGATTTGACAGATGCACCAAGGATGGAGTCCAGACCAGAAGTGGTAGACGAATTTTGAGCGAAAGAGTACCAAGAGTTTCGATCCTTTTCAGAAGCAGGAAAGAGGTCTTCGGTGTAACTTTCCGTATCAGGGACGGCAGACAGCTGGCGTCGGTGTGGGCTCATATGAAGGGCCTTGGACCATGGGAAAGCACCACCCTGATCAACGGGAGGACTGGAGATGGATGGTGTTCGAAAAGGCTCCCGATTGGCACTTGGAGGAGCGACGTCACGAGCCTCGGTGCAGAAGTCATCCAGGACCTCTTCGTCTGTAGTGAAACTGACTACGTTCATGAGTGCATCACGGACGGCAGACAAGGAACGCTTGGTGGGGTCGATAGCCAACGCGTGAACCAAAACTCCGAATGTGTCCTGAGACATGTTCGGGAAGATGTCGAAGAGAGCTTGGGTATCTCGTGCAAAGTCGGTGAACAGCTTATCCGAATCCGTTGGTGTCACGAAGGGGTTGCGTGAAAAAAGTATGTTCAACAAGCAGATACCAATGGCCCAGGTATCAGCTTTTGCAGGAGAGTAACCACTGTCTGTGGGGTCGTATTGTTCAGGAGCCATATATCTGTCACTGCCAACGCAAGCTTCATGTGACCAAGCGTCAGTGGTAGCCAGCCCAAGGTCACCGAGCTTCATGGAGCCATCCTCGGAAAGGAAGATATTCTCCGGCTTGATATCTCGGTGGTAGAGCCCCTTGGCGTGCATGAACTCAACAGCATCGACCAGTTGCAGCATGAACTCTCGCACTTTGTTGGTCTCAAGAGGTCCACGATCAAGACGGATTGCTTCGTACAGATCACCCATGGAGCAGTATTCCAGGACCAGGTAGATGTGGGCCTTGGTCTCGAACGAGCCGAGGAGGTTGACAATGTTCGGGTGATGACCAAGGCGGCCATGGCAGGCAAGCTCCACTGAGTTCTCATCGACGTCGACTGCAGGGCAATCCTGTTCCGCTGAAGCCTTGCTCAAACATTTGATGGCGACGAGATCACCATTGCTCGTGTCCTTCGCCAGGAAGACCATACCAAATGATCCATGGTTCAGCGGAGACACTGACTCATAACGCCCATCTAACACCAACCCTTCGCTGAACTGATTCTTCATACACTCCATCTCCCTCCTAAAGCAAACAACAAAAGTGGAACGGTATATAAGGCGACGACAACACAGGCTTGCTGACAGGGTGCAAAGGTGACTTTTGGCGTAGATAGTACACGAGAAGTTGTCTCAAAACTTAGGTGGAAGCACCTGATGACGTGGTGACAGCCCGGGGAGACCAGGTCCCGGGCTGACGTACTGTGTCGATGATGTGTCGAAGAATGGTGACGGTACGTAACAAAACTGGAAGCGACCTTTGAGATTATACTGAAGAAAAGCAAGTACGAGACAAAACGCTCCGCCCGCCGTTCATAGACCAAAAACTCCGTCTTGTTCTATCAGAGGCTCATGTGCAAGGTATAAGGATGATTTCGTGTTGATCGAGGAAAGACGCTGACGCTGTGGTATCGTGAAAGGCTGCGTATGTACGTGCAAAGGAGTCGAGAGGCGTTACGTGAACATCCGGATTATTGAAGGCTTAGGTTGGAATCGTTGTAGCGAGAGCGTCGAATAGGATAGCTTTCAAAGCGAAGGAGAGGACGTCGACCAAGATCAACAGGCAATGAGATTAGGAATTGGGTATGTCGCTGCTGCGTAAAGTCGTGAAGTGGAGGAAAGTTGGCCAGAGGCTATGAGTTTGACGGAAGTCGGCGGACACGAAAGTCCGTAGGACGGATTGACACTCCGAGGGTGTTGATTTGCAATGGAGATGATCACCAGAAATATCGTAGACGTTGGATTGACAGGAAGATGAGACCTGGCATTCGAAGGCTTGAAGCTGAGCTGCGAGTTGGTCTATATCCCGTCTCGATTGTCACGAGCTACAAGCCAAGATGTAGCCCGCCAGATGTTCGTCGTTTCTTCAAGTGAGCTATATTCAAGACCTTGAAGCTAGAAGTTTGATGACCATCACTCGGTCACAGGCAGGCGGGCTTCAAGGCAACAGTATACGTCGTTGTGACTCAATTGCTGGGAGTCTCAGGCAGGAATGACCAGTCGATGGCGTGAAGGCGAGAAGGAAAAGAGGTTTGGATGACTCGAGTTTAGCTGGATGTAGGCGGAAAGGCCGAGGTGTTGGTGCAGGTGATGGGGACGAGGAATGGAATCGAGGGAGCGACGCTTGGAAAAAGACAAAGCAAAGAGGAAGAACAATGACTGAGGTAGGTAATTGACAAGTAGGATCAGAACATTGATGATGTTCTATGTAGCTTGAAGTAGGATCATGGTTGAGGATATTGGTTGAGGTAGGGTGGGTAGGAGAGAGAGGTTGGCTGAAGCTCGGACGAAGCAACAGGTTTATGGGGAACAGTCGGACTAAGGTACTTTAGCGTAAGATTGCGCTATTCTGTCAACACATTTGGTGCTACGGTGCGTTGCTGTCCAAACAAGAGAGACCCTGGCTACGGCTAGGATGAAAACGGATTAGTCTATTGATACGCCTCTTCATTCCGGCATCGCAGAGTTTCCACGTCTTTCTTCCATTCAGGCCAAAGAATAAAGGACAAGACCAAGACCAAGGCGGTTAGCCAAAAATAGCTCGATACGAGACCTTTTGGTTGGCGTGTGATGAGCGTTGGACCGCCCCGGACAGATGCAGGCTTTAGCGCTGTTATGTGCCTAAAGTACGGTCTCACCCCTCTCCGACGGAAGTTGGCAAGTTTGAGACTGGTTTGAAATTGCGCCGGCTTGCAGCAGGAAAAAAGGTACTCGGTTGCATCTGTTGGCTGAATGGGCGATGCTTCGTCCAAAGCTCTCCGAATGCAAATCTCTTCACACGCATTTTAAATACAGCTGTCCTATCGATATTCGATGATGCTTTCAAATCCAAGACTATTATTCCCAGGCGACTAAATGCTAAAATACATTACTTCATCGTCATGCTCTTCCTAATCTTAAATGCGATCGCATGATGGCGGATAGAAATTAAAATTTCTTTGATCTTGTGGCCCCCATCCATCCATATGACATGATGACACTAATACTGCTTCAGCCAATGGAGAAGAAGGCTCAGCTGATAGGCAGCTCTGGATGGGGCCTACGTCAGATCCACCCCACCGCCAAGCCCGCCAAGAGCTCAACTCCCCTTTGTTTCGTCCTTTCCCCTCTGGCCACGTCTCTCCCTGCAAGTCCAAACGCTTTTATGCAGCCTTCGATCGCTTTTATGCAAGTGTGCGCACCTCTAACCGACATGGCCAAGTCGACTCGTACAAGTAACCTCATATGACATCTTGCTCTCGGGCTTGCTTTCGAGTCTTGGACCTACTGCAAGTCTGCGACAAGACAATGATGATTGGCGTACCCGCCCATGAAAGAGTGTACCTGCGACTGCCGAACATAACATAGGTACCGTCGAATAAATACCTAAAAGTATTTTGCCGGCCAGTGTGATTCACCTTTGTCATGTTATAAATGAAGAGAAAGATACTCTGTCAATAACAATTAGCATTTCTCCACTCTGCAAGCAACCGAACGGCTCCATCCCGTCTGATAGCACATGCTCAATTTGCCCTGCCTCCCTGGGATGCGATCGCCAAGCCCGAGGCAGTGAAAGACACGCGTGCAGCTAAAACTAATGGAACCTTGAAGAGGCATTGTATCGTGTCTCCAGCACCTTCCTGTTGCGCTGCGCCGAAGTTGGAGAATTCGCTGCCCCGGCCACAGAGAGCCCATGTGCTGAAAGTGAAGTGTTCCTCAAAGCCATCTGCGTTTGCATACCTCCCTACTGTCTCAAAAGAGCATGGGAAGACTTGCCGTTGGCACTGGGTCGAATTGGTGCAATATTGATCGATATTTCTTCTCAAGAATCATTCTTTCATCTGCTTTCTAACCAGGTGCTCCACAGCCGGAGTACTTATAGGTCCACTTATGGTGCAAAGATTCCTCGCCCCACTGCTCTTATCCGCGTGGTATGGGGTCTTTCGCGCCTCCGAAATGGACCCTGTCTTCCTGCTCGGCCACATAGTATCGAAAAAGAGACTTATCACAATAGTGACATTTGCAAGCCGTCGGACCTGTTCGAAGCCTGGGACCATATTTACTTTGTGGAGTGTTCTTTGGTTTTCTCTGTTTCTCGATATACCTGCGACTACATCCCTTGGGAAAAGCACCCATGATTTTCTTGCAGACATTGTTTGATAAATGTTTCTTCAACCCAACTTTAGAAGAGAAACAATAACCACAGCTTTCACATGTTCTCCTGGCAACTGAAATTTTCTCGTCTTGTTCGATTTCACTCTGGGTCGGGATACTGGAGTTCTCGTTAGTAACGCCCAAAATCAAGGAGGGAGATGAGCCTCACAACTTAACGCCACGCTTTCTCGACGGGTTGGTCAGTAGGGTGCAGCAAACGCAGCCGACGCTACGAGGTGCAACAAGACAAACTACTTTACTCCGCGCTTTACGCAAGGTTGGCAGGGGACAGGCGCCTCCCGACACATGGGGTTGTTGAACATTTCAATCGCAAGTTGGCGCGATTTTTGATCAGCATGCTCCATAATATATTCCGGTAGCATTTCAGGAGGGTCCGAACCCTAGAGATCATTAGAAAGATAGGACCTCCTTGGGAGCAGGGAAATCACGCACCTAAGCCATGGGCACCAAGAAAACTGACGCGCAAGTAGGAAATATGTTTGCAGCGGAATTATTTACTTCGACCTTGGGAGATCGCTGTCGCAAAGCACCCGGAAGGCGAAGCGTTCAGCAAGCAAAAGAAAAAGAAAAGACAAGTTAGGATTCGGAGCTTTAATCATATTACTCAGAGCATGAAATCCACCATTTGACGAGAAGTGTTGAGAACAGCGTGGCAATCACTAGAGGGCGACTGGCATCGGTGAGATCATGAACGTCATCGAGTGACGAGGAGCGTTGATGAAAAGGGGTGATTCACTACTGTAACATTCGTCACGGTCTGTAGGGAGACGTAAAATGGGCCAAGCCTGTGAACAGATTCGCACTTACACCACAAGCAGACAGCACTTACCCGATGGTCTTGGAGAAGACTCACGACGTAGTCAAGCTGCGTCCAGAATCCACAGAGAGACGATTGATTTGGCGTAGACTCTCATCTCCTCCATTCTTTCCGGGACCACTGGTTTAACCGGATCTCTATCATGCAATACGTTCTCGAATTCGAGTCTACATTCTCCATCCTGATCTCGGACGGCAGCTGCCTCACAGCAAATATTCCGGAAGCTTTCTGATAACGGTGGCTTCGTACCAACGAAGCGTTCGTCGAGCAGCTCAGAGCTGAATAAGACAGGTCACCCGCGACTAGGATGTGATCGACGATGCAAGATCAAATAGCGGATGCTGTCAAGGAAAGGTGCGGGCGTTGGGGGATCATTATTTGACCAAAGTGGAGAAGTGCTTCTATTTCCAAAGTGTTTCACATCTTTCGATTATTTCACTTGTATGCCGGTATTTGGCGTGAGATGAAATTGACCAGTCCCACCAGCGAGGGGCCTTTTGGGGCATGAGTTCAACTTACAAGATGGAGGGTGATTGGGGGGCCATTATTGTATCTAGAAGGTATAGGAGGGGCAAGATTGCATTGCTGAAGTTGTAGAAATTGGACAGCTATCCCTTCCATTTTCTTGTGTGCGGGTAGCATACGCTAGGCAGCTCGTATTTCGCACCGCCGTAGGGGTTCGTGGGGTTCTGATATGCCACTTGATCCGAGTAACAATAAATTAGAAGAGGTAATAATATCTTTAAAAAAAAGCCAAGAAAATTGAGAGACTTGACCGCGCTAAAAATACGGGTTCCCGAGGTCACATCCTGTCTGAAAAGTCGAGATGACCATGGCAACCAGCCACGACGCAGGCGTTCAAGGGACGTATCGAGATCCCGCAGCAGTCGTTTCGGACGCAATCCATGATAGCAAAAAGCACCTGCTTTTAGCCGCAAGTGGCTCTGTCGCCACCATCAAACTCCCCCTGATCATATCCTCATTTGAAACCCACCCGAATCTCTCGATTCGAGTCATCCTCACCAAAGCGGCGACGAAATTCCTTGCCGGTCAGTCTCCCGAGCAGCCCACTGTCCCTTCCCTGGCCTTGCTCCCCAACGTGGATGCCGTGTATCTCGACGAAGACGAGTGGATCGACCCGTGGACGCGGCATTCGAAGATCTTACATATCGAGCTCCGCCGTTGGGCTCACCTCCTCGCGATCGTCCCCATGTCCGCGAATCTTTTGGCAAAGGTCACAGGGGGTCTCTGCGACGATCTCCTGACCACTGTAATCCGCGCTTGGGACGTAAGGCGTGCAATTATTGCGGCGCCGGCGATGAACCAGATGATGTGGCATAATCCCATCACGGCAAAGCAAGTAGCGATACTGGCCGAGGAATGGGACTGGTTTGAAATATTATCGCCACAGGTAAAACAGTTGGCATGTGGTGACGTTGGCCAGGGAGCCATGTGCGATTGGCACGAGATTGTCGAAGCGATTGAGGAACGACTAGCAAGCACTTAGTTCGTAACCTGACAAGGCGGCAGCTGCACAGCGGAGAATTGTCGGAGGAGAGGGTTTTCACGCGAGGGGCGGATCATTGCCATTCAATACATGAGGCTTACGCTACCAATCTACGCTGGAGGTTGCAGTAATACGCTTCAGCCCTGTCTCATCTTCCTTCAGCCTGCCTATGACATGTCATTTCGCAGGACATAACCACACCTTCAAATGAGATGATAATAGGCGGCCTTGCCTTGGCTCTGATTTACAACCACCGAGACCTCGAAGAATGAACCTATAGTAATGTAAATCATGTATATTCTACATGGGTGGTTGCTCTAGGGCGTTTCTGCGAGCACCCCTCCCACTTTGGAATTCAAATTCCTCCTTGTTACCGCAGGGGCCAGTAAGGCCAGTCGAAGTCTTTGGCCCTAGCTTCGATGCTTCCAAGATGGCTATGAGGAGGGAAGAGAGGCCCTAAACCAAACATAAGTGGTGGTTGGTCTGCCAACAACATTGCCGTGCCTGACCGTCATACGTGCACTCCATGATCACGGGTCACGCGTACCGTGACCGTGACCGTGAAAGTCCTCAAGCTTTCCGATTCGACTTAAGAACCTCGTTCCCCGACACTGCTGCTGTTCGTGGGACCAGAGATTGAGTCGACAGACGGTAGTGTACCGAAAGATATAAGAAAGAGATCAGCGAGTTCTTTTCTCTTCACCAGTCATTGCTTTCATCGCCTCTACGTGAGCAATCTGAGTCTCGAGTGAGTCGACGTCTTTCACACTTTGACCATCATCGGATTCGTCGTCCTTGTCGTACTCCATCACCAGTTGCTCTTGTAGCCGGGATATCTGTTCATCGATCCGTAGCTCGCCCTTACCAAATTCTTCAGCTCTAGTGTCATCCCGATGAGCAAGGTCAATCAAAGCCCTCATTGCCCAACGAGCATCAGGCTATGAAATTCGCCTGGTGAGCGTGCTCTGGGATGCTGGAATCCGGATAGAGAAAAGCATAGAAGTAGTTCAGTTTCATACTTAAGAATCCAGGGAGGACGGTCCTCCAGAAATGGATAAGTAGAATGGAGTTTGAAGGAGTGTGTTGTTGCATGATCATCTTCAAGAAACTGTAGTCTAGGTATCCCACTGTTGGACCATTCCACCACATAACTGTCTTTTTCCATGTCGGCGTCGTGCAACAGATGCCTGAGTTCGTCCCATGTCTTTCCGAATGTCTCTTTTTCTTGCCCATAGACCTTCCTCATGACGGCCCAAGAGAAATTGGCCGTAGATCCAGTACGAGGAATACCAGCCAAGAGTTCCGGAATTGACTTGTCGTACTTGATGGGGGTGTCAATAACAACCTGTCCAAGCAGGCGGCGAACTGCGATTTCGACAGGAAATCTCTGAATTAGTAAATCGTCTTCTCGAAAACCTCCTAGTGACACGAATTCGAAATCAATGTAGAAATCCCCGCCTCGTATGTTTACCGGCTCGGTCTTGCGAATCAGACTAACAACAGCAGAAGGGACGGAAACCATGGACAAACATGCTGTGATTTCATTCGGGTTGCTTCTACGGATTCCGCAACCATGCCGTGGACGACGCGAAGCCGGGATCTCAAGGCGCAACGCCATCCGCTGCAGCCACATCTTGCGATGTCTCTCGCAGGCAGGAATGACTCGCCCTCCATTGATGGCGGCCTTGTCAAGGCAGGCCACGCTAACGCAACAAAACCCATTCTTTGCCTTTTCCTTCAGGGCCGCCCCTCTGACGTAGGAACTACACACACACATTCAGGCACACTATGCGGGCCTTCACCCTCGGTGGCGGCGCGAAGGTTGGGCAAATTTAAGAGCGGGACAGCTCCAGATCAGCGGTCAAAGACAGGTTCAAAACCATTCTTCAATCTACCTTAATCAATCGAGTCTCTCGAGGCCCAGAACCCCCAACATGCACCAAGTCGTAGGTGCAGTAGCGCGGCCTTGATCTACCGCTTGGGGCGTTATCGTTGGAGCAACCGAGCAATTACGGTTCCCCCTGCATATGCATATGCATGACAATGCGACAGCGAACAAAAAGTGCAACAGAGACCGAGCGGAAGGCTCAATTTGAGTTGAATTAGGAGTCGTTCATGATTCTCATTGCACCTTCGGACACAACGTCGATGATGCAGCAGCTTCTTATTCTCTACAAATTCGGCGGTTCGACATATAGCTCGCTTTTGGTGAGGGACTCCATGGCGCCGCGCTCTGGTTACCCTTATCAGCTCAATAGCCGTGAATCGGCACCGGCTCATTTGTGAGCCAAATGCTCAAGATTGACATATCCAGACATGAAATCAAGCACCATTGGATAAGATTACCAACAGCCCCAATCACTATTCTCACGTGAGCTCAGTGAGAGCATCGGAACGAGCACGAGACCAGGAGTTAAGTATGTACCCTGGATATCTTGCAATTTGCGAGCAGGTGGTTAGAGAAAGGAATACGGATACGTCTTCCTCTGGGCTTTCCCCACCTTTGTCCCTCGTTGTCCATAGTATTTCGATATATGCTTAATTATTTTCATCCTCTGCCGTGTCTTTCCCTTCCTGATTGCTCTACTTTCTCCATCGCCAATACCCCTTCACCCTCTCTCCCCCCCAACATCACTCTCTTGCCAACCCGGGAACAAGCGGCAACGTGTGAGGGTCGTGGTCATGCATATAAATGGATATGGAGTTTTTCTTAGGGACGGAGGCCTATAAATTTTGCAAGCATGAGTAGAAGAGGTCAGATCTTAGCTCAGAGGTATTTGCCAACATCTTTATACAGATCTCGGAAGCGTGTTTGCTTCCACAATCGCCTCGAGCTTTTTCAATGGCGGCAACCAGTAGCCAGCTCTACGCTAAGCTGCAGCCGCCTTTCCATACTGGTAAGGACCCTCCTCATCGGCACTAATTCTGAGGGTAATAGCAGTTGGGATCGAAATGTTATTGCTTTGACAACTATCGATGCGCTTTCAACAGCCTGTATAGCAGCCTCCGAGACTCGGCGTCGCTCACTCCGCAGAGCTACCTTGCATAGTCCCTACGCCTCAAATTATAAACATGCGGTTACGCATTCAGAGATGACAGGAAGGGAGAAATGGTCACCTCTTAGAAAACCATTTTCCACCGTTCATGTGCGATCCAAGCTGAAGATAATTGGGGTTATCTGCGAGGACAATACCAGCCCCTTCGGCTATCGCATACATGTCGCGTATTACCAGGGCTGGTAATTACCAGCCACCAGCCACCTATTTTATGTATATAAATATCCGTACATCCCATGAATCAATAATCAGTCTTTCAGTCACAATCATTCTTTCTAACATGTCTGGTATCCTACTTTCAACAGAAGGAACCACACTCTGGGCTCATAATGATTTGCAGGACTTTGGGGATTTTCATCATTCAAACAGGCCGTATGCACATGGGAAGAGCAGATAGGGGCGTACACATCGGGGACTGAGCCCAGGTTTTGGGACGTTAGTAAGGCGTTTGGTCTGGCTTGGCTTGGTTTACAACATCTAACCTCGCACGAAACTGGTTCGGCAGACAGCACACGCCCTTATCATGACCTACTCAAGCCACCTCGCCGCCCTCCTCGTCCAAAATGAACGCTAGGGGGCACAAATTTAAGGGCGGACATCGTCGACACGAGTTCATCGACGTCCGCTGGAAGAGAAGGCGAATGACCTAGTCTTCCACTGCTTCCTTTGCTAGTCTCTGCCGCTGAAGATTCGAGTGTATTTGCAGAGTCAGGATTGTGACCTTGAAAGGCCTCGGTACTGTTAGTACGTTGCTCGCGGTGGAAAGCTCTGGACGCAGCAGAGCTATGCTTTCTTGGCCGGGAACGCAGCATGGAGCTACGCTTGTCAATGCCTGTATTAACGATTTGGAAATCATAATTCTGCACGATTGTTAGACTGAGCGAGCACTCAAAAGGCCACGCCAGGGTCCGTGCTTACCTTGGGGAAGATATGTTTATCTGTGAGATGCATCCGTCGTTTTTGCGGAGTCGAGCAAATTTTGTCGCAGTCTTCAACGAAACATTGGTACTGTTGCTCGCTGTCAGCACCGACTTGATCTTTCCCAGATCTTTCCCAGAGCAATGATCTGCCCAGACGTACCGTCTTCTCTTCGTTTGCTCTCCGTGCTTCGGTCAAAGGATCATGATTCTCGCTAATGTGTAGCCCTAGGAAGTGCTCTGTAGGGAAGTTCTTCCGGCATTCAGAACATCGATGTGCGTGCTCTCTAGCGTAATGGAGCTCGAATTCCTCGAAGGTAGAGAATGATATCGTGTCATGGTGGGGTGGAAGGGAGCATTTCATAACTCTTCGTGTAGAACGCTCGTCCGATGTCTGTATGTACTTTGAAGGGTGCACCGGTGCATCTGTTGAGGCTGGACACGAAGGATCCGGTGTTGGAGAAAGCGAAAAGGTCGTCGTCGGCGAGGGGGAATCTTCTCGTGAGCGTTTAGGCATAGCTTGTGTGGATGTAGCGGTGAGGAGGTTACTCTGGTTACTTCTTGCCCAACATACTATCCCTCATGATGCAACATCAGTCCCTCAAAGAGACTTCCACAAGTGTTGGAAGAGTAGTGCGGTGTACTCGAGAACGATAATTACATGAGAGTCACAAGAGATTGGCTTTCCGGCTCCTCAAGAAAACAAGACTCGGACATAAGATATGGACTTAAGGACTCCGATCGCGAACATCACCTACACATATGAATCCCGCGCATGACTTCCTAGCAAGCAGACTCTTTCAAAGTCTTTGCAATTGTGCCTTCTAGTCGACTTCCTCAATGGACTGTTCGAGTACAGCCCAACCGTTGGAATCGCGTTACTAGCTCTAACGGCGCGGCTGACCGTGGGGTCTTGATGAAGAGTCGGAGCTGCTCCGTTCGCCATGGCAAACACAAATGAGGAGAGATGGAGGTACTTCTGGTCTCCTGTTTTGCTATTGAGATGGAAGCTCAAAACGCACAGGCTGGCCCACCGAGCAGAGAGAGACCTGTCGACCTACCTGGGCAGGGAAGACTCCACATTTCCGAACATTGCCCATTTCCTGGCTCAGTACATCTTTCATACACCCTAAGAAAGGCACGTCTGACTGTTGAAGATACCGCACGGCATGTGAAAACGTTATATTGCAAGATTTTGAATTTGCCATCGGCAAGAGTGCTGAGAATAGGCTGTGGGATGCTCATGGCAAAATCAACAATCGATTTCGCAAGGAACTGAAGCACGTTTGTCTCTCATTTTCCGCGAGTTACCAATCGCTCTCGACGCTTATGCCGTTGGTAGTTCCGAGAGACTGCGGGAAAGAGAAAAGCGGTCGAAGAACGCAAGCTCGTCAAACACTTTCTTGACTTCATCAAGTCTGGTCAGCGTTTCTATCGTGGTTACATACAAAGATTAGCATCGCGATTCGGTGGTCTCCGAGAGCTGGATGCTGTTGCTAACAGATTGACCCTAAGCAGTAAGATTGTCAGGCGAAAGCTGAACAAGAGACCCACATGTTGACTGTGTCTTTATAGCTCTGTCGGCTGATGAGCCAACACAGGTTTCCGGCACCTTGGCCCATTCCATCCTCGTATCCTGCCATCAGACGCTCGTCCGTCTGGGCGACCTTTCGAGATGGCGTGAGACACAGTCTGTAACAAAGAATCGCAATTGGGGCCCAGCTATAGGATATTATAATCTCGCTGGTCTGATACACCCTATGTCAGGAGTTTCCCACAACCAACTGGCAGTCATTGCACTGGTTGACGTCAATCACTTGTCGGCTACTTATCATATCTATCGCGCATTGGCTGTCGAGGAGCCCTATCCTATGGGAAAAGACAACCTGGAGGTTGAATTCAAGAAGATTGAAGAAGCTTGGAGTAAGGGGGAGTTGATCATGACTGATCCAGTCAAAAACAGCCAAGAACCGGGAAAAGCGCTGGTGGGATGGTTCATGCGCCTACATGGTCGATGTTATAAAGGCCTCGACTTTCCAGAGCATGAAGAGCTTGAGAGTGAGGTGCTGAGCCAGCTCGCGGTCGACTTGAAAGAACGGTCGTTCGAAGGTACCTTGAGCAAATTTGTTTTGATCAACATAGCTGCCGAGTTCTTTGCAGGAGTACGACTACAAGGTAAGCTATCAGCTTCATGTTTGTACTATGCTCAGACATGCTGAGCCATTCTCTTAGAATGTGGGGGTTCTGCGGAGGCGTTACGGTCGTTCTTCTTCCTTCAACGCCTGAACGTAAGAACGTTTTTCGCCCTCCTCCAAGTACTTTTACCAGAATTGGAACGCTCCGTCAGCGAACATGTCCAAAGCGGCGGCGCAGCACCCAGTTCTGGGTCCGCCAAAATTACCGCCGTTACGCGCCGTGTGTTACCAGCTCTGAGACAGTACAGTTCCTGGCTTCTTTCTAACGCCGAAATCCTGGCAGCTCAGGTGGGCGACAATGTATTGAACGTCCAGGTTAGAGAATTGTGGAAGATCTACGCAACCACTTTGACCCTTCTAACATCAACATTCTTTGTTTCCGAATTGCCTCAAATTGAATATCTCCTCGATGAAGACGAAGATACTGTGGGGTTTAAGCCGTTAGACAATGAGAATACAAAGCGAAGATACTATAAGGAGGTTAATCTGGGTTTTCAAAAGCCCAGGTACCATGATCGAGGCATTCAGCGTCATCATCCTAATGTGGAGATGCTAGGGAGGATTCGAGACCTGTTGACCGATGGCATGATTCAGCACTTAGATGACGTAGGTTCTTTCTGTTCTATGTCTGGTGAGGAAGCTCATTGGAAAACAGAAAGTCCCGATCAAGCTTGTGGATGTGGAGGGTAGCACGACATTCATCTACGTTGAAGAAGGCATGCGGGAAGAAGAAGGCTACCAAGCGCCGTTGTCATCAACGGGTATCGAGCTCGAGGAAGTCACTCATGTTGATGAGACGACGCTACCTGAGAATCATGCACCAATTTCGATCAGTGAAGGAGCCTCTCAGGCAGCGTCCATTTCCGTGAATATGGATCCGGCTTCGAAGCGCATGGTTGATGATCTTGTTGACTCTGAAACGACCGACGATGGTGACGATTCTGGATTCATCGACCATTCTATGAAAGAGAATCCACATGGCTTCGCAAACCCGGAATATGGCCCTTCAACAGCTCGAGATGTTGGCGATGAGACTAGCTATGGCCTTATTGGTGACTCCACGGCACGAGAGCATTTCGGCGACCTTCAGGACCCGGTTCCCGATTCCCCTAGGCCCGTACTCCCAAGTATTACCAATTCTCCCTTTGCGCTTCAGCCAGGCGAACGAACGCCTGGGTCTCGGCCCTCGACCGCGAAGCGCAAGACACCGAGTCATTCTCAACAAAATTCGCAGACCAGGTTTCCTCTTCAGCGGCAGTCAATCGGATTTTCTGCGGACTCGAGTCCTAGCAATCCTAGTACTATGCCAGATCCCACCCCTGGTTCGCACGCGAACGAGATCTACCGGAACCAGCCTCCTCCGAAAACCACGTTTCCTTCGGTCCAGAACTACACAAGGGGTCCCAGGACCTTCACGACTTTTGGAAACAACCCTCTCCAAGCGGATGAGCCCAATTTTCTGAGTTTGGAAGTCTTTGAAGGAAGCACTTGGGGAGGAGGTAGCGATCAGAGCGGTAGAAAGGCTACTAACGTTATGACACCTCCAAATGGGCAAGGTGCCGGTTGAAAGCTAACATTGGTGCGCTAAGGTCATTTTCCGACTCCGGAGTCTCAAATCATCAAAAATATGCGTCCTGGACTGATAGTGCAAGAACATCTGCTCTCGTCTATCTACGTGCTATGCTATGTGCTATGCTATGTGCTACGCCATTGCATGCCGTGCACTGATATATGGAGGATGAAGTCCATTTCGGTCATATCACGTGGTCGTCATTCCGTCGTACGCCATGAGAATTCAAGCGCTTTTAGTTGTTGAAACCCGAACGCCTCTGCTGTGCTCGGCTCAATTCACGGAGAGAAAGTCGTTTTTCGACGTCGGCTGATAGCTTTGCTTGGGGAAGGGATATCTTTGGAGGAAGGAACTGTGTCAGCTCGAGAGCGCAAGGTGTCCAAGTTGTCATTAAGGACCAAAGGGGACAAATAATGAGTTTGAGCTTGAATTGATGTTGCTCGATGTCGCTTAATGTCTTTGCGATGATTGACAGGATGATGAACTGTGTCTGCGAGGAGGAAATGAACGTACTGTGGTCCCAGCTCCTTAATGCTCAGACTCGCAAGCCAATGTCCCATGTCAATCGATTCATCGAGTGATTTTCCCTCGACGACACCTGCGACAAATCCGCCAGCAAAGGCATCACTTATTCCTTAAATCAGCATGGTACTCCCCAAAAAGACGTATCAACAGCGCTCACCCTGCACCATTAGTATCGCAGATATCCTCCTTCTTGACCTCCTTAATCCCAAACTCCTTAATCTCTTTCTCCCCCTGCACCGCCACAACCGTACTCTCGGTCCCCTGCGTAAAGATCACTGTCCTCTTACGCCCCTTGTTCTCCTTCGGCAAATCCGCTACCAACTGCGCGATCTCTTTCACATCTTTCGTCTCATGCCCTTGTGACTCTGCCCAGCTCCTCGCTTCGGTCTCATTTCCAATTATGTAATCCCAATACTTGCTCGTCTCAGCCAACTGATCCTTGAAAAACAGCGGGATGAAGGGAGCGGACAAGCTCATGATGAAAACCTTATCCTCCTTGGCTGCTTCCTCCGCCAGTGCCATGATCGCGGGCACGCAGACGGTCAAGTGGTATCCGCCGACAAAGTAGACCTTTGCCTGCTGCGCCAGTTTCCAAACCTCAGGCGATTGGAGATGGGAGATCTTATACTCGTTCGCGGCAGCCAAATGCGTGCACATGGAACGGTCATGGCCGGTGATGATGACCCCGCAGCGGCCGGTCGGTTGGTCGGGAGAGACGAGATACTCGGAGCGGACGCCGGCTTCTTCGTTCTTGGAGCGCAGGGTCGTGGCGTATTTGTCGGAGCCGACGCAGCCGATGTAGAGGGTGGAGTGCGGGGGGAGGATGTACTGCGGGTACGTAGGGGGTCAATGTCGCTGTGCGTTGGGAGATGGGGGGGGGAGGAAGGGAAAGAGGGAGAAGTACTTGTGCACCACGGGTAGTGTTCTGCGCTGCACCGCCAGCTATGAGCTTTGCGTCGTGGTTCTGGAGCAGGTCTTCGTAGAGGCCCATGTGCTTTTCTTCGGCGAGTATGGCGTCATTGGGCTTGAGACCGTATTTGGAGAGCATTGCTTCATCGCTAGGTAGATATGTTCAATATCTTGCGAGCGGTGAGACGGCGTGTTGGAGCTTACCCTTGGCCTTGGATATCTGGACAGGCAGCTCCTTCAGCCTTTGACTTGGGTTATGGGATGGGGTTTGGGGGCACTCACCGAGTAACGGATTCTCTAGGCATAGCAGAGCGTATTGTTGGGGGGATGCCATGATGTCGATTTGATGGATTATAACGAGCGATTGTTTGGAAGTTGCAGAGTTGTTGGCGACAGCTGAGAAAAAGACGCCTCGACGCGAACGCTCGGAGATACTCGTAGAGACGATGTGTTTCGGGACTAGCGTTAGGGCAACTCCTTTACTGTCAACAGGGAATTTCAGCTTCAACGATGTGCTCGTCAGTTACTGCGCAGTGGGATCGGTCCCTGAAACCGAGTATGGCAAAAGTTTTCTGATCATTCCTTCCGCAGCTGGGGGTATAAATTCTATCGAAGCAACATTGACGCCCCTAAATGCAGTCTGATACAGCTTATGCAGCCCATCTTCAAGCCTTCTGCGGCTTGACCCTTGCCGGGCCTAGTCCTTTTCGTACTTCATCAAGCTGTTCCATGCCACTTTGATACCCACCCTTCTTGACCCTCTTCTTCCCGCTCATGGAATACCCACCCAGGAAGTCATCCATGATGCTGTCGAAATCTGCCCTCTGAACCAGAGATGGTGCTTGACTAGAAGCCATTGAACTCCCCGTCATGATGGATGCTCCACCATCGTCCATGTCCATTTCGTCCTCGGCGTATGCTTCTTCGATCTTGTCGAAACGTGCGTCGAGCAGAGTCTGGCCTTCTGTTCGAAAAATGGAAGAGCTTGTCATTGAATAACCAGTGCTAGAAGTCATTGCCCCTTTCCTTTTCTTTCGTCGACCGCCAGTCATTGAGGTTCCCGTCATGATCGAGGACTGCAGTTCAGCATTGGAGACTTGCAGCTGCGCCTTTTTGGCAGCTTTGTCGGTTTGCTTGAATTTACTGAATTCCTTCATCCAGTCGCCATCACCATGGTCAGGTCCATCCTCCATCATCGTATCTGTACTTTGCGGGACGGGTGGTGGAGGCATGTCTCCGGTCTCGTACTCTTTGCTCGGCTTCTCCGTTTCATCTGTCTCCCAACCAGCTTCATCGCCTGCGTCCTCGAAAACGGCCTCCTCAAATTCCTCCAAGCTGACTTCTCTGCCGTCCTCCGCTATCTCTCCGAAGAAGTCTTCCTCATCATCAACGTACGCCTCGTCTTCCAAAGCTTCCAGTACCTCCCGTAACCGGGGATCCATGTCTGGCTGGAAGCCGGCCAACGCATCTGGCACGTCCTGCTGATCCTGGTATGTGCTCCTCCTCAAGTCCTTGGACGGCAGCAACTCATCATCCAAAAGCTGGGATCCTCCACTCTGACTGGCTACGCTTTCGCTCCGTTCTTCCTGTAAAGATGTCTCTCTCAGTGCATCCTCCAAACTCATTTTCCCCTTCCCTTTCCCATCCTTTTTTTTTGTTGCAGCCTCGACAAAGTAACTTTCTCCACTACCGCTTCCAGCATTGAGATCTCGTATATGTTGCATATAATCATATTCGGTATCGTCATAAAAAATCCCATGCTCTGCAGCCTCTCCTTCATTGTCTCTAACGCCTGAAAGTATACTGCTTTCGGTTGGGCCGAAAAGCTCTGCTTCTAGGTCATTGCGGTTTTTGATCTTATGGGCCTGTGAAGGAGCAAGCTCTTGGAAGAGCATGGAGCTGGAAGAAGCATCGTGGATTTTCGGGTCATTTTGAGGCCGGTTCACAAGTTGAAATGTTGTGGAGGAATTTTTGTCACTTTACCGGAGTCAGCATTATAGTATCAAGGGATTAATGAGATATCGGACTCACATCCACCGTTTTCGCGGCATGTTGGAAACTGCCGCTACTCACGCAGAAGTTTCGATAAGCAAAATGTTCTGTCGGTGGTCTCGAATCTGTCACCAAAATTTGGCGAGAAGTGACGTTGGGCTTGGCAAAACAAGCCAAGAGAAGCGTAAAGCGGCATTTCCCCTAGGCCGTACGAGTAGGCTGGGGTACACACCTGCACAGCTTGGCACCCGATGTACCCCCCACTCATTCGGCCACGCGCGGCCGTGGCCGCTTTAGCGATTGAGCTAGTTAAGCAGGTCTCCTCGCTCTACAGGATCATAGTTCAACAGGCCTCACCTAAAGAGATATTTATGAGAGCAAAAGCCAACGGTTATATCCAAAAGCTCATCATAAAGAGGATAGCAAAAGCAACGATAGCACCTATGTGCCGAAAACCGTCAAAGATCAGAAGTCCGTCCTGAGGCGCTATAAGATATACGACCATTCGTTCGATTATTCAGGAAGCTCAGACTAACCAACTGAAACAGGTTACTAGCTATTGCTATCCCGATCTGTGTGCATCATTGGCTGTCGCGACCGGGCGATTGCAACAACGTCGGTGCGGTCCACGATACGGCGATGGGGTTGTCGAGGTTCAGGCCACCCTGATTCTCCGTCACGTTGCCGCCATCGAGTCTTGCGCATATTAGATCTTTGGCGGGATCTGTGCAGACTAGTCGCATATTCATATCTTAGCCTTGCAGGGAAACAATCGTTCCACGCCGCTTCTACGTCTTGAAGATAGTGTCTTGATCATAGGAAGCGCAGGGTAGCAGCGAATCGGCGTGCTTATATGTGGAAAGTTTGTTAGGTCGCCCGGAGTTTATGAGATAATATATGTTGTATACTTCTGATTTTCATATGTGACACAAGTAAACTCACAATAGAATGATCCGCGTGGTGCTCAAGAAAACGCTGTGAGCAACACATTATTCGCGCATTCTGTCGATACTCCCGCAAATTCCGCATCATATGCTCGAATCCCGGATTTATGCCCTTCTTAATGTACATCCAATGATCAAGCAATACACGGCGGGCAAGCGCCCCAAAGCTCCATGCGGGGCCTAGTATTTCGTAGCGATACTATAGACCAAGCAGCCAGCGGTGATCGCTCCACCACGTCCTTGGTTGTTACCTGGACCCATTAGCGACTCGTAAGAAAGAACAAAGCAAGGGAAAAAAAAATGCTTACATTGCTTCCATGCGCTATGCAAAATGTCAGCGCACTGGTTATTCGCCACAGGCGTCGCAAGATTATATCCTCCGTTTGGAGTACAGTTGGGTACAGATGTGACTGCGATGTTATAGACATCGTCCTGGTTGCCCATGCTGGGCGGATAGACGTATGCGACATCTACTGTTTCCCGGCCCTCCGTTTTGTCACCGGCGATGATGGTGTCTGCGATGTTGATGGGGCCGTTTTGGACGGTGCTGTCGGCGTATTGGCTGCAGAAAAACGCAGCTGCCTTTTCAAGCTCTGACTCGTGGGAGTCTTTGACAGAGCTTGTCGGAGTGGGAACACAACTCGGCTGAGATGGAGGGTCCACGGGGGCAACGACGGTTGGGGAGGGGGTCGCGGGACTCGCGGGGGCAACGACGGTAGGGGAGGGAGTCGCGGGGCTCGCGGTGAAGACCGAGCTTGTCGCATTTGCGGCGAAGGGCCTTATGCAACTGGCGGGGGCTTGGCGCTTCCTCTTGGTGGGGGCGTTGGCGAACTGTCCGTGGAGGGCTTGGATCGCTGAGTCTACGTTGGTCATGAACTGCTCGACTCCTGGCGTCGGAATTGTATCTAGATTTCGAAATTCGAACAAGGGCACCGAGCGCTGTGAGTTGTACATTTTCTCCATTCTGGTGGCAAGGCCTCCAATGGATGCGTCGATGCTTCTGTCAAAGTCTGAAAGCGCGTCTACTGGGGGAGTCCCTACGCCAGTGCCGCTGCCGATGCCTGTAATCCAGTCTTTGATGTTCACGGTGGTAGGCGGAGTGGTTGCGGGGTTAGAATACTCTAGGCCACCCAACCTGTTGTTGGAGACTGGGGCTGTCAGGGGCCCCGTGCAGTAGTCAGTGTCAACCCTGCACACTGTTAGTTAGGCGAGTAAGAGGAGTCTAATTACTGACACAACGTTTTGGTTAACCGTCTTGTAGCATGCAAGATTGTCAAAAAGCTTGAAAAGATCGCCTGTAAGCTTTGATTTGACAATTCCAAAAAGGGTGATAAACTCAGTTCGAGGCATGAAGACTGTGAACAGCTTAGGGCTCTGATTCCCCTGCAATGTGTTGCTCGCGGCTTTGGCATAGGATAATACTAAGGAACAGAAGGCAAGCACATCGTCGGTCATTTTGGATTTGTCGATGTTATTTGGGTTGGACTGGAAATACGCCTGTGTAACGACAACAAGAATGGCGTCCCCTCTGAAATTACTCCCGTCGAGAATGTTCTTGTTGTCAGGATCCGCCTGATTCTCTATCATCAGACTGTATAGGGCTTCGAGTGGCATTGGCGCAGTGATCTGCGGAGCCCAGGGCAGATTATTCGGGTCCGATTTTTGATTTGTGGCGATCTTCCACGGGTTACAATTGCTATTCGCAATGTTGACGAAGTTTGGCGGGCTCCCACCCCACGGTCTCCAAGCGATCTGACAAAGTTAACAAGACAGGACACGAAGTGGCGTCGCTGTAATACTTACAAGGTCATCCGCCCACGCTTTACCTGCTGTTGCACCATCTCCACTCCCAACTTTGATGTTCACGCCATTCAAAATGTACTCTGCATTGATCTTTCCTGGATCAGAAGTTGAGTCTGCCGTCAACTCCCAGTTCGTCCCAGTACGCTGTGCGACGACCTGTTTTCTCGCCGCATTTGTATCCTCGACACTGCAACTAGGACTTGTGAAGTAGAAGGCTGGACTCTCAAATTCAGCTCCAATGCCTGCGGTGCCGTCGGCAGTTGGTCCGTCGAGCTGGACCGCCTCAATGTCTTGTACATCTTGAATGCACGGATCCAAAGCGCGTGGCGGTAGATAGGCCGCAGAAGCGGTAAGCAGAACCAACGTGTATGGGAGTAGATGCATGCTGAGAGTAGAAGTCTTTCTCAAATGGCAGGATAGGCTGAGTAATGGTGATGAATCGCAGACTTGGCTGATTTTTCCAGGCATGGACAAGGAAAGCACGAGGTTTATATATCATCGCAACCATACTACACGAAGAAAGACACTCCCACCATCGCATCTATTTCGAGGCCCGGAGATTGGATACTGTGGGCTGTGTAAATGGGATGAGTTTTCTGACACTGATTCCCAATTGTATCATCGCAACCATCATACTTCGAAGGAAAACACTCTCATCATCTTACATGTTTCAAGGCCCTCACGTCAGATACTGTAGGGGCTATGTAAATTGTTTAGGTCTCCTGATATTGGATCCCGGGTGTATCATCGCCACCCTGGGTGTTGCGTATCAAGAGGTACGGTGGAATTGCTTACATTTAGGCTCCCAATAGCACACTGTGCCATATATATCTTGGTTTCATCCTCTGACGTGAAGCCCCAGCTATGTGATCGCCACTTGGTGTATGGCGTATCAAAAAATTCCCATGACCCTACTTACATTCAGCTCCCCGAACAGGATTCTGTGTCCTATACATAAGTGTTTCATCCTCTGACGTCGTCGCCACCTGGCGTCTAACGTATCAAGGAGCTCCTTAATCTCATTTGCCTTGCAGTAAGCAGACGGGGTAGCTGACATTTAAGGCGGTCGAAGGGATGGGGGGTGGGAAGGAAGTCGAGTGGGGTCCATGGCGTAAGGGATGCGACGAGAAATGCGATTGGTACAAGACTTGCAGATCATCAGACAATGTCGTGAAAGGCATTCGTATGTAGTACGAGTTGCGGCGTTTGCGGATCATGCTCCGCACAGTACAGACAACGCAGATAGTGTGTCTTGAGTTGGTGTCTCATGCGGTGCAGAAGAGTGTGACTGTGCAAGCTGAGCACTGTGCCCTAGATACATTGCCAGATTGGGCCTCGGGAGTACCATATGCCGCTTTGCTGTGTGAAATGTCGCCATAGCCGATATGGCACTCAATACCAGAGATTGGTGTAAGCATCTCCGAAAATAAGGCTAGATGCATCAGCCTGCTCTACCACAGAGGCCGGCCAATCTCCGAAAACAAAGCTCCATGCCTCAGCCTGCTCTACCGCAGAGGCTGGTCCGGGTTTTTGATCCTGGCGAGCTCGTGGATTAAATATGAATCCGACGTTTCGTCGAATTCGTTTCCTATTACACCTTTAGTGGTAGCATCTCACTCAACACTTTTGCGGACAGAACTGCTCAATTAATTATTCTTGACACCTCTAGTCTACAGAAGAACTCTGTAGTTTCACACGTTGAGAGAATTTGTTGTATCGTGCTTCAGTCTGGAGGACGGGGAGGTCGGAGGAGGTCCCAAATTATCGGTCGGAATCCTAGTGGCTTAGCACCGTGGCACAACGATACTGCGTCTCAACAAATCAAGATTCTTCAGCTCTGTAGTAAACAGAAGATAGCAGAAACGGTGAATTTTACCGCAACTGTAGAATTGTGAATGGTGTATGGACCAATTCATCATTATCATTCCAAATAACAAGGTGCGAGTCTTGCTGTGGGTGTGCGGCCTTTTCTTTTCTGTGGTTGAGCCGAGCACCAGAGCGCCCTACGACACCCAATTGAGACTAGTGTCCCACTGCTAGTAAGCTGAGGTTCGGCTTACGCCCAAGCATCCTGATGCTGCCAAGTCCGGTTTCCAGTCCTTGCCTTACTTATATCCTGCCATGCCAATAAGCAATAAGGCATCTTCATCACTTTTGTCAACATACCCTCACATCCCCAAGAAAAATACCTTTCATGACCCTCACTCGTCTACCCACCGAGCTCCTAGAAATCATCATCACGCATGTCTTGCCCGAGGGCTTCGAGAGCGTGGCAGTGACCTGCAGGAAAATCTACGCATTATGCATCCCATTTATTCAACGCCACAACGCCCTCCGCTCGCGCTTCCATCACTTTACCTACCATGAGAACCCCAACGACCCGTCTCCCACCATCGCAACAGCGGCCGATCTGATCAGACGCATCGCTGTCGAGCCTGTCGTGGCACGTTACGTTCGATATGCAGACTTCAAGCGTGACAGCCCACGCAGCTATATTATACCCCGTGGGTTTGTAGCAGATGCCGATTGTCGTGACGATGTGATTAGACTCTTTGCGAATTGCCCTTATCTGGAGCAGGCTGGTCTCGACTGGAAGGAATACGTTGACAAGATCGAAGAGGAGTTCAATCCTGATGAACTCCCCCGCTACTCACAACACGCTGCTGCTTTCCTTTTGACACTCCTGCCAAATGTCGAGAGGCTCATTCTACCACAGTATTGGAAGCCGCTCGACGCAACTAATAAGCTCATCCATGCCGTTGTTCACAAAACCAAGCAGGTCCATTCCCTCTACGACAGGCCTAGCCTAGCCCAGATCACCAGATTCGAGCCATATGTCTCGTTAGTACCCCAAGATCGGTTTGATTTGGGTTTGGCAAGCCCCTTTCTGGCCCTGCCGCGCATACGGTCTTTCCGCGGCCCCAGCTGCGTAATCATGGACGACAATCACAAAAGCATCATACCCAAAGATCCGCATTACGGCTTCGGAGAGACCCTTGAATCTGTTTCACTCGTGGCCTGTTGTGTGGATGAAGTGGGTATCGCCGACTTTCTCAAAAACACCAAACGCCTCAAATCGCTTAGGTACTCACACTCGACAAAGTATAATGTTAGCCCTCAGTGCTGGGATATCTGCAAGTTTGTAGCGGCAATTGAGCGTCAGGTGGGGAGTCACCTGGTAGAGCTTTCTGTTTCCATTGGGAAACCATTCGGCTCGATTGCTCCTGGCAAGGCATCTATGCGCGGCTTCCCATGCCTCCGACAGCTCGAATTCCCTCTCGAAATTGTGATGTGTAATATTACTGCCGCTGCATGCCTGGATTCTACGCCAAATGACTCTCTCGTCGGAGGCTCATCGGACCACAAATTGAACTGTGTTGCGCTGTTCGTTGGCGACCTTGTACCTGCCTCAGTCTCTGTTCTATCATTGATCTCACATGGGACTGACCATCATGACAAGGCTCTCGACGTAATGTTTCAGGACTTCGCCGCCAGGAAGGAAATCACATTGCCTGCTCTCACGGACATCCATCTAATCTGCCCGAATGGTGCGGACGACGCATATAAGGATCGTGGTACCAGGCTGCTTGTAGAAACCCAGAAGGCGGGCGTGGTTTTACATTTGGAGCCATGGGCACACTCAGGCGCTTTGACATGGGATGGAGAACTATGACCATTTTCATGACGATCGCATTTTCTCCCGATTCTAGCATACGAGAACAAGATAGGGACATTGTATGCGTGTTTGCGTTGTTGAAGATTCATAGATACGGGGAGCTCATTGGTGCCAAGGACGTGGAGATAAGAGAAGAGATGGACAAGTACTTTGTTCCTCTACGAGTATTTCTTAAGGTTATCTGATACAATCGTGTAAATCGTTCAATCGGAAGAGTTGACAGGGATTCGTGCATGTGTTGTGTTGTATAATCAGATCTATTACGCGCACGAATGAGGAACGCATTAGTGTTGGAGTCAAACCAAATTGACAGGGGGATCTTATATACTTTCTATACGCGTCCCGCATGTTGTAAGAGAAGTCATACATAGAGGGTGATCAATACCCATAAAGATACATAAAAAGAAAAAACAGACGCCTTTTTCGATGAGGATTTGATGGATTGAAAATTCCCTCTATACATGACTTTTGCTACATTCTCTTACAAGCTTAGCTGTCTAGTCACATTAACTTCGCGAGCTTCCTCCATAATCTACTCAGCAGATAGGTCCGTGACTGCGTAACTTCCAGAATTGATCCGTAGCCATCTTGAGCAGAAAGCGCCAAGACAGCGGCAACAGAAGAGACGGCGGAAAAGAAGTCAGTCTATTCGATACCCGAGCAGCCTAGTGGACATGGCATGTCCAAAACTCAAACGACCCTTCTAGTCTTCGCTCTCTGGGTGAGTAGTCGATTCCATTCACATCGAACTGACGTCACGTAACATCCCCCACCTTCACCATCCTTACATTGCAAAGCTGTATACAGATATATAACACGGTGCTCCACCTTCCTCGCCGCCCTAGACATAACCATCGTCACCACCGCCCTCCCCACCATCTCCGAGCACTTCCACATAAACGCAGGCTACCTCTGGGTGGGCGCCGCCTACATTCTTGCCGACGCGGCCTCGACGCCGGTCTAGGGCAAAGTAAGCGATGTTTGGGGCCGTAAACCCGTGCTCCTTATTGCTATTGCCGTCTTTTTCATTGGTAGTGCGTTGAGTGCCACGGCCGTTAATATGGCGATGTTGATTGCGGGACGGACGGTGCAGGGTCTGGGTGGGGGAGGTTTGGTCAATCTGTCGGATATCTTGATTGCGGATTTGTTTTCTATGAGATATGCTCTTCTGTGGATATCCATGATGGATTGAGGCAATACACGCTGATGATTTGGAGGGGTCAGTCGAAATATGGTGGCTTTCTGGGTATGACTTAGGCGGTTGCCTGCTCCATTAGGCCTTTACTTGGAGGGACACTCTCAGAGAAAGCAAGCTGGCGGTGGTGCTTCTACATCAACCGCGAGTGATATTATCTATGCTATTAACTAACTGCTGACTTCTTACAGTTCCGTGCAATGCAGTGGTGCTTGTGCTTATGTCATGGACTCTAAAATTCAAGACTCCAAAGACAGCCCTAGTAGCTGGGCTGAAAGCGATAGACTGGCTTAAATATCTCACGATTGTCGGTAGAACTGTCATGATCCTCGTCGGAATGAACCTCGGCGGCTCGTCATATCCATGGAAGTCCGCAACGGTCATCTACCTCCTCGTTTTTGGAGTCTTTACTTTAATCCTCTTCATTCTCGTTGGGTGGAAAATTCCGCGAGTCTCTTTCATGCCTCTGAGCATCATTAACACGTGGCAACGTTCGCCCACGCTTGTTGCTGCTTTGCTCCACGGCTTCGTGCTCTCCATAACTTTCTACTTCCTTCCACTATACTTTCAATCTGTACTCGGAGCTAGTGCCTTGTTTTCAGGGGTCTTGCTACTACCGATGGCCATTCCTGTATTCGTCGTAGATGCTTTCACAGGCTGGGTTATCTCCGCGATGGGGATGTATACATGGTTTATACGCGGTGGATTCCACGTATGACCCTTGGGAGCGGTCTACTTATTGATCTACCACACTCGCGACAATGGGCCCGGGTGGCTATATTTCAGATCATTCTTGGTGCCGGTATCGATCCAAACTTCCAGGCACTGACCATCGCTTTCCAAAGCGTTGTCAAGAGCAGCGACGTCGGTACAGCTACCTCTACATTCAGCTTCGTCAGAAATCTTGCTACTAGCACAGGACTTATTCTTGGCGAAGTAGTCTTCCAAAACGTCATGCGTGGGCAATATAACAAGCTCAGTGGACTATCAGGCCCTAGACTTACTGGCACATTAGCCAATGGAGGAGCGGCGTCTAGTGTTTTCACAGTCAACAAATTACCCGCAGATCAGATCACTGCAGCACGGGACGCGTATTATATGGAAATTCGCGATTTGTAGATCTTACAAACAGCCTTCTCTGCTGTGGGACTCGTGACTATATACTTCATCGGGGGTCGGGTATTGAGTAAAGATCATACGGTTGTGGAGACAGGGTTGGAAGTCGAAGCACGACGAGCAGCGGAAATAGAGAAGGAGCGCACGGGTGGCAGAGCTGGTAAACAAGATGCAGTTGTATAGATCTGTGGGCCAAGAATTGCCCAGCATGCCTTTGCGGGCGTAGACTAGAGCTGTGGGCATCTAGTTTGTAGAGCATTAATAACATCCTCTATTCATAGGGGAGAAACCGAAAATAGCGCTCGTGCTGTGACATCAATTGACGATTTCGTAAGACAATACCTGCAAAATCGAGGATCACAAGGACTTCCCTCTTAAGGGCAGACCAACACCATTGATAATGACAGCCATAGGACAGCAGAAAGAATTATACATTCTGTCAGTTGTATCCCACTGTCCCAAGTGCCAAGTCATGGCTAGGAAACATCGTTAGCCACATAATCGCCCAGTTTCTAATACACTCTGAAGGAGAAGATACATGTCGAGCAACAAGGTATCACGGATCGCTGCCTGTTCTACAATTTGTCATTGCCATGGGCAATGATCGTGTCTGTGGGTGTTCATATAGTACACGTCTGAGTATATATAAAAAAGAATATGCGAATGTGAAATGCGCATGACCATACCTAGTATCCATCATCCTCCTCGTTCACATATCTGAACATCACACCGATTTTGAATTGACCAGGCAGGAGGCCTATAACGCCGCTCACCACACCGAGAGTTTTAGAGCATCCCATCGGCAGCAAAATTCTGCATATCACAAGCGCTATCACTGGCGATAGTTACCAGAGCGTCTACGGGTCTTTGGCAAGGACGTCCAACGGGTGTTAGCCAACTCTTTTGGCTCTGTGCATAGATATATGCGTTTGTAAGCCCGCCAGCCTGGCAGTGAGATACCTTGGTCGTATGTTCAGGTATACGAATGTACTCAAGGTGCTCATCAAACCTGAGATATGTGAGTCGTCTATAAACTTCTGCAACATAATGGCTACGGTAACGAAACTAACGAATAGCGAAGATCTTCCCAATATCTTTCTCAGAAGGAAGCACGTCATCAACATACCTACTCCATGTCTAATCTGCTCAACTCTTTTCATCTGCAACCTCCTCCGCCCCACTCCTATCCAACACAATTCCTCCACTTCCTAAATGTTCCACCATCCACCTCCCCGGCCCATCCCAAAACTTAAATTCCGTGCAATAATTTCTCTCCCCAACAATCAAGAACAACCGCAGTCCCTCAACAACATTGCTCAACTGCCGCCACGTGAAAAGTCTTTGCGAACCCTTGACACTCCGCACGACGAGATAAAAGCCGTCGCCCAGCGTATATGCCAATCTCTGTCGATGGTCAATGTCGAGAACGGGAAAGGTATCCTCACCTTCAATCTCGATGGCTTCGGCAATGTCATGCTGTATTACGGCGATAAGACCACCCATGCTCATGAGGTCAAGGCGGTGGCGGGGGTAACCGAAGCCTAGACGGAGGTAGATCTGGGTGTTGGGGACGGAGAAGCTGTAGGGAAGAAGTATGCGAGAGCTCAGAGTGTTTGAGAGGTTTGAAGTCAATGAAGCTTCGTAGACTCGTGAGTTGTTAAGTAATGTTAGATCTGAAATGTTGCTTGGATGCTTTGCAGCTGCCAAGGAGTTGGCCGCAGCGCTGCTTAGCAGAGAGATGAAAATTGCAGTTGACAAGATAGTGGAGAGCATGATGGTTGGCTTGAATAGTAAAGAATTTGACATCGACAGCGTTGGTGGATGGAATCTACCGCCAAGGGAAACGCAACAGGTCTATAGGCGCGAAGGCTCTACAGGGTGCTACTGGCTGAGGATTGGCGACATGCGAAATGAGAACCAATCGCTATAAATGATTTACCGGCGCCGACAACCATCGTTACCACGGCAGTCACATGTGTCTCCAAGCTGATTCTCACGCTTGAAATATTTGCAATTGTCGAATCACACTGCTGCTGCCATCCAAGAAAAACGATGAAGAGTAGCTCCGAAAATCAAAGACAAATTCTGCGTCGGTCAGTCTACCATGCCCAAAAGAAGAGAGAAAGGATAAAAAGGGGAGAGCAACGTGCAGCTTCCAACGACACCAGTAACGACGATCCTACCGGCATTGCATCGAATGAGAATACAGAGGTATTCCAGGCGTTGACTCAAATCATGGTGGAAGTCATAGCTCTTACTTGCCGCGTACGAGTAAGTCTATCGAAATATCAAAGAGTCAACCAATCGAAGCTCACGGTCCGCGCTTTGCGAAAGAAGGGGGCGAATAAGATAAAAAACTTACATCCATAGGGCAGTCGACGACATATTAATAGAGACTTCTCTGGCTATCTATCACGACTTGTCCTACACTTCCCCGCTTGATCTCTACATCTTGAGAAGTTTCTTGTCAAGGATAGGTAGTTATTTGAATTTGAATGTCTCCTCACCATGGAATTTAGGATTGGTACACTGACGGTGACAGAGAGTAGTGTACACATTCGAGGTCGAGGTAGAAAAGCCTACGATTGCAGCAATGAGCTATCCGACCGGTCTCCCATCTCATCGAACAGATTTTTTGAAGAGGAGAGATCATGGTCATGGCATCCTTTTTGAGTACTTTGCTGGCTTCTGGTTTGCCGACGTTTGGTTCTGGATTTATAGCAGGGTTCTCGACAGCCTATACATGATACTTATCGCTACGGCTTACCCTCAAACACCCTTTGGGCTCACCTCTGTATAGCCCGATATGCTTACCCCTAGCTTATCCTTGGATCACCTTGGATCGGCGAGGCAGCAGATACAAGGCTATAAGTCTTAAATGAAACACACAAAGCTGTTGTGGGATGGTGTATAGGGGACTTATATGCGAGGTTTGTACGAGAGATTTGTAGATGAGATTGGTATAAGAGCTTTAGTGGGAAACGCAATTATCAACTGCTGACATGCCTCGATCAAGTAAGGCGCCTCTCGCCGCCTTGAAAGTCGCCCATCAAAGGTGAGCTGAGGGTGATACAGGTGAGCCTGGAGGGTGAGTAGAATGAGTAAGCCGAGCCGAGAGTGAAGGGGTGAAGACAAGCATCATAGGCTGTCGACCGTGGATTCTAAAAATAGTCTGCATGAGCTGACGTTTGCTTTGCATGAGCTGATACCTGTATTCGAACAATCATATCTATTATCATGTGAGCATTTGATAAGGAAATACCGTACTTATGAACCCTTTTTCGATACGTGTACCTGAACCCCCTTAGAAGACCGCTTAGTGTCCGCGGTTTTGACTTAGCGACTTTGAAGAACACCTCTCACACCTTTAGCCATTGAAATATCTACCTATACTGATTCTTTGTCTTGAGAATATTTGAAAAGACATAGCTCTGACGTGAGTTAGTCGGAGAAGTAGGCAATCTACGCTCGCTTTAAATGATGGTCGGGTTCTCTGTTGCTTCGTTTTCTAAGTTGTTCAAGTCAGATACGATGCCCCTCGTATCAAATTTCACGAGAAGAGGTTCTTAACGATGACGGGCATCACTCTCCTAAGATTAACGTAGATGCCAATTAGGAGCCGTCTGGACGCCAACCCATAACCATGCAAATTAAGTTCGCACCATTTTATCGCGCTGGCATAGTATCGTTCACCCAAGGCCCATTAGCATCAGCGTCTTGAATGATGTCGCCATTTCCCGTTTGGAAGAAGACGTTTAGTTCGTAGGGATCAGCGCCTGGCTCTGTCTGCCACCATACTACAAGCGCGCCGGATGTGAAACGAATAGTCATCTGGAGTGATGCCCTACAGGTGGCTCGCGTTTGTTTTATCGAGGTCTTATAAGGCCGTCAGAGGGAACCTTCAAGAAATTAGACTTCCCAACCTTGAGGTTGGCAAGTCTAAGTCAACTAATCCGTCTTGTTCAGTCCAGGTCTGGGTGTCCTTGTTGACATGGCGTCTGAAGTAGTACAGCGTACACAGGACCGACTCGTTGCAGCTATCGATGATTCGAGAAATGCTGTCGGGCAAGAAGCAGCAAAAGTTTTTTTCTGATCTCTCTTATCAATATTGAACCTGTGGAGTTTAAGCGAGAGGCCGCAATCTGCGACGAATCCTGGATGAAGTTCATTAATATAGATTTTATGATTAATGCTAGTGACCCTTCGCAATCCACGCCGTTACCGCTCTCCGGCAAAATGAAGATGCATCCTTGTGGAGAACGATTTCATAGACAGTAGCTGACATATGCATTGCTAAGTATCCTCTCAGCACCCGATTGCCTATCCTCCGTCGCCATCGTCCAACTCTCTCGCACTTTTTCTAAGATCAGAAGGCAGCATAGTCCAGAACACTCGCTTCTCATTCATCTATTGAGGTCCGTTCACCCCATCCACAACCACCCTCCATTGCTTCTATAATCGCCTCGATTCAGTGCAACGCAGACACATGACTTCCTTAGTATCTGGTCCTTCCGTTTCTTCCAAGCTCGATGACGAGGCTGACGATACCGACCTCTCTTCCGGACACATATGGGCCTACCCATGTAAGCTTCCTTCGTGTCCTAACTACGGCAAATCCTAGAAACTGCGAAGCAACTTTCTCGTTCATTTGCAGGAGCGAGAGGCACATGGGACCGTAGCCACGACACCTGCCGCACGCCGTGCGATCGAGATAGAGTGGCGGTATACCACCGATCCTTATCTGCCACCTCAGGCGGCACCAGATTTTCGTCCGTGGGAGGATCCTAACAAGCAAGTCTGGAACTGCAGTTTTAAAGATAACACCGGTAAGGTGATAACCGGCAGGGGCACACTGAAGCAAATGGAAATGCATAAGGCCTCACGATGCCGGCAAGCGGAAGGAACGCAGGTCGCGTAGCTGCGTTCCTATTTGATGCCGCGCGACGAGCGGGTGCTCTATGCAGCAAAGCGACCTATACAATGCGGGAAGAAGAATATACATCAAGACGGTTTGACCGACATGGCCATTCGCCGTCAAAAGAGCGATGTGAATACGGTACATCTCGTCAAGAACCTCCACCACGTCGATCTCGGCTGCCGTGTCTCTAATCTGTCTGAAAGATCTTTCGGTGACGTTAAGAATGATGATTATGGCTATAATAATACTTGGCATGACGATTATAACATTAACAGTGATATTGATTTTTGGAGTAGAGCGGGGGACTAAAATCTAGCCCTTAGTACACACGCATACGAACCTTCACTTTTCTGCAAACTCTCACGAAAGATCTTACGGAGTAAATGTCTTAGAACAACGTTGCCGTCTTCTTGATCGAACGTATTACGAAATATCTTACCCGTGCTCTTGGTGTAGGCTCGCAGCTCTGCCACATTGCGAAAGGTCTGGACTCTTTATTCGGTGTTTTTACGTCCTCGTCCCCACTCAATCAAATCAACAATGTTAACATGTGTCCTTCGTACAACCTATGATCCGGATTAGCATGAATGTTTAGAGTTTCGTGGAACGCGCTTATACTTCCTCGCATTGCTCACACGTTTGCGGAAGCGGCTTGACACGAATGGCACGACAAAGGGCATGCCACGTAGCCAAATCGTTCTCTGCACCATACCACATGCGCAATTCGCTTTCTAATGCATCTTGATATCTGTTCCATGCATCGTCTGACGCAGCATCGCCACGCCGCCACCCTTCATGTTCTCGCAAGTTGGCATACGACGCAGCTGGTGAGAGAGAAGGGTCTTAATCAAAGATTGGGAAAGAGCGGAAAAAGAGATCTAAAAGGGTATCCGGATCCTGCTGATGAATGCGAGAGTTCTGCAGGTGCTGCTCCAGAGCCTCATCGCTGCCCAAGAATTGATTATAACTCTCACAGTTGAAGGACGGAGCATGCGCGGGCGAGTCTCGTAGGTGCTGGTCAAGAGCCTCTTCGCTGCCGAAATGACGGTCGCATGTTGTACAGTCGAAGGCATGCGCAGGTGCGTCTCGTTTGTGCTGCTGCAGAGCCTTGTCGCTGTCGAAAGTTCGATCGCAGAGAACACAACGGCAGCTCATAATGTCAGGAGTTTCATACCAGTGTAAATTTTCAGAATAAGCAGGGAGTAATGATAATGGGAGACCATGATCGGCTGGAACTGGTGAGTCGACAGTTCAATTGGAATGAATGGTAGGCGGGGCAGCTATGTCGTGTAACAGCTACTCTACACTGTTGTCCAATGACCCAAAGCCAGCTGATAATGCAGGCTTCGGTCCCGTGATGATAAGCTCCCAAGAATCCCTTGCGCCAGGTGTCTACAACATCCACATAGCATCAAAGTAAAAAAAAGCTGCCAATAGTACTGCTGATAGTTTTCGAGATATCAGATATCATCCGGATACAATGTCTGCAATCGTTGAAAAATATGGTGGTGACTCGCCTGAAGCCATGTAATATTAGGGAGTTTCAGGCCACTTTTTTTCCGCGTGGATTTCGGTGGCAAATCACTGAAAGTCTGAAAACCTGAAAGTACCACGTCTGAAAATAATGGGACTCCGAAGTGCCTTTTTTTTGATTTAATGGTTTTTTCAGCCGTGGTTTTTTAATAGATTCTATAGATCTAGTAGCTAAATAAGACTATTCTACCACTTCTACTACTACTACTACCGCTACCACTACTTATCAATAGTACCATTGCCACTATTGCGATCCTCCATATATCTACATCCTCAAGCTCCCGGGATCTATTCGTGCAAAGGTACGCCACCGAGCATCAGAGTATTGAGGAAGAATACTACTCGCCCAGTCGGATTTAGATATAAGGGTTCTTGGTTCCATGTAGCGTTCCTCCATAAAGGCCTCATGGACTGCTAGCCATTTTCTCGTTTTAAAATGTCTTCTATCATGTCTTCTAAGGCTGATAAGAAAGAGATTGAACACCTTACGTCTCTGTATCTCCTTATTAGATAAGCGAGGCATAGTTGCTAATAGTAGGAATAATGGCTAATAGTGATATTAAGTAGAATACTCTATGACTATATGCGGAGAAAACTACGGAGCATTCTCGGAAGCTAGGGCTAGGGCTATATGTGGCAAATCTATCATAAAACCACAGAAATGGCCTTATTTTTATATGTGGGGTCTTCAGGTGTTCAGGCCTCCTGAAAAAACCACTGCTGAAAGTCTGAAAACCTGAAAAAACCACAGCAAAAAAAAAGTGGCCTGAAACTCCTTATTAATAATGTGGAGTTAGTTATTTCATGGGTCCAGGAAATCCTGATCGGCTCGCTTATTAGAGGCTAAGCCTGATTGGAAAGCTTGCTTTCTCACTGCTCAAATGGCTTCTACGCTAAGAGACTAGTGACCAAGTAGATCATCGGATTCCATTATTTCTAGTCTGAAACACACCTTATTTCTTCATTTTCAATCTAAACGCGGGTACAGAGGTCTGCACCGAAAGTCCTGCACCCGCCAAGACTCTTGCGCTCAGACTTCGAAAAACGCCCCACCTAAAGGGCTACCTAGACAATGCGTCTAGAGTTCTGCGGAATCGTATCTAGCCCTAGCCAGGTTTCAGGGCTTAATGCCCCTATCAAGCCAAAAGAAGTACCTAAAGTCCCATCTATGCGCTGTAAGAAGATATTTCTAGGCTTCCCCTCTACAGGGCCGCTTTCCGAAAGTAGGGTTAGGGCTGCACTAGTGCGGGTGCAGGACTTTCGGTGCAGACCTCTGTACTCGTGGATTCCAGAAGTGAGTTACTTGATAGAGCGAGGACGCCAATAGATCAAGCGACGTGCCGCTGAGTGGAAATATCTATTGGTGTCCTCGCAATATCAAGTAACTCACTTCTGGAATCCACGAGTATGTCCACAAGAGAAAGCTCGAAAAGAACTTCAAAATCTTCAAATCTACCTTTTTTGATTCCTTTTCTTCTATTAAAGAAATAATAATAAAGTAAGTTTGTAGAATTATAGAGTCAATCATGCGCTTTCAAACAATATAGCGTATATAAATTTTGTTAAAGTATTCGTAAAGATATACTAAAGACTAAGATTTATGTGAATTGTCGAGCTTGCGAGAAGAGCCCCTCGGGCAGGAGCCCCCGGAGGGAGGGGGGTTTAGGGGTCTCCCCCTAAGAATACTGCTACGTATTTCAAATCATTCTAATTTTAATGACACTTCGAGGTTGCTTCGGCAGCCCGTTCGACAGTAGTTCTCGGAGAGCTCTTAGAGAGTCCCCGAATAATTAGAATGATTTAGTGATGAATCATAATCGTTTCCACCCCCATTTGCACGTTACCCCCATTTGCACGCTCTTAAATCCGATAAATCCGACATAGATAATCGTATCTACCCCCATTCGCGCTATACCCCCATTCGCGCCATCTTAAATCTAACAATTCCGACGCAACATCAAAATGCCTACCTTTCACCAAATTTTTATAGCAAACTAGCACAATAATATTGATCTGTCATTGCTATCAAGACTTCTATATCGGAGAGCCTAAATCATCGTTTTTTGGGCCTTATCGGCCTATCATGTCTTGAAAAAACCGGCACTACCTCTTCTTCTACCTCTTCTTCTTCTACCTCTTCTTTTCTACTATTTTCTTACCTCTTTTATCTCTTCTATCTCGCTATTAGAGTATTACTGTAATAGAGCGAGGTTTAATAGTAGTAGTAGGCTTAATGTAAGAGATGTAGTAGTCTTTTTCTTAATTGGGCTTAAGTAAGCCACATTTGAGTGGAGGGTAGGGATATCTACTATGCTAGGCCTATAGACGGCGACTATGATACCGTAGTATTGGCCATTATGGTAGACTGTGGTAGTAGGCTATTTGAATGAGTGGTAGTGGTAGCTATGGTAGTGGTAGCTATGGTAGTGGTAGCTATGGTAGTGGTAGCTATCTATATCGGATTTATCGGATTTAAGATGGCGCAAATGGGGGTATGGCGCGAATGGGGGTAGATACGATTAGCTACCACTACCATGGCTACCACTACCACTCATTCAAATGGCCTACCACCATAGTCTACCATAATGGCCAATGCTACGGTACCATAGTCGCCATCTGTAGGCCTGGCATAGCAGGTGTTACCTCGGACCAGCTATTTTGAAGACACGAAGAGAGGTAGAAGTCCTGTCAAGAAAAAGGCTACTGCACCTCCCACATCAGGCCCACTGATGCCATTAAATCTCGCTCTACCACAGCAACAACGGCGAGATAGACGAGGAGCTGCTTCGTCACAGTGGCGGGCTCCACCGGCTCCACCGCAGGCTCCATCAGAGGCTTCACCGCAGCAAGGTGGAAAAGGTGGAAGAGGTGGAAAAGGTGGAAGAGGTGAAAGATGTCACGGTACGCCAAGGCCTCCTCCAGAGCCACCACCCATTTGGGCCTAGCGTGGCTTGGCACCGCACATATCTGCCCTGCAGGCACATAGAATAATCAACATCTTTTACACCACACATGAATTCATGACCCAGTCATCCATTTCCTTGACAAAAGAGGTGGAAAAGATGGAAGCGGTGGAAGAGGTGGAAGAGGTAAGAAGGTAGTAGAAGAGGAGGTAGTAGAAGAAGAGGTTGAATAAGAGGTAGTGACGGTTTTTTCAAGACATGGTAGGCCGATAAGGCCCAAAAAACGGTGATTTGGGTTCTCCGATCTTAAGCCTGGATAGAAATAAAAGACCATCATTATTGTGCTAGTTTGCCATACAAATTTGATGAAAGGTAGGCATTTTGGTGTTGCGTCGGATTTATCGGTTTTAAGAGCGTGCAAATGGGGGTAACGTGCAAATGGGGGTGGAAACGATTATGTAAGGCAGTGTTGAGTGGTCTTCCCACGGTGCCACGGTATCCACAAGCTTTCCACTACTGGGTAGCCCCGCGCCCCAGCACATATTTGGGACTAGTGTAGTTAACAGGCGTGGCTTCCTTGCAGGCTTTTGCAGCTAGCCCACATGTAGTATAGCTTGGCCTGGTGGGATAAATATCCTGCTGCCGTAGGCTTCCATAGATTCTACATCCTTTGCTACCCACATAGTAGAACTGTTTCGTTCGACTCAGGCCTCACTGTTAGATAACTAATCAACTATACATTGGTTCCACCACACTGTCGGCCATCCCTTTCAATAACAATCCTCAAATTAATCAAGAGGCATTGACTGATTCTCACAGCGAACGAAGCATCAACAGCCTCACGAACATCGACATGTCGTGCAACTTCTTCAGCCTCTCCCGCGAACTTCGCGATCAGATATATGAGCTGGTCTTATTGCACCAAGAACTTATTGATCCCTGGGTTGATTACTATTTACGACCGAAGCTGACCCTTGAGCTCCTCCACGTGAACAAGACTATCCACCGCGAAGCCAGCTCGCTATTCTACGCCCAGAATCGGTTCGATTTTACCACGCGCACCCCTGAGGACGTAGCCTCGTTCCTCGGGCAAATCGGCCGAAACAACGCAGACTATATCCGACATATCTGTGTCGACTTTCCGAAATTCCTCTATCTAGAACCCGGTGATGTCACCCTCGAGGACGATAGCGTTGTCACCCTCGAGGACGATAGCGTTAGCATCCTCGCGAACATACAGAGCCGCTGCGCCAATTTGAGCACGCTCACGACGTCCCTATATAGCACAAATGCCATGGAGCTTAGGCTCGACGCACTAGACAACCCCAAGGTCGTTATTGAGGCTTTAAAGCTGGTCAATACTCACTTCAGAGCCATTTCGTCCCTACAAGAGATCATCGTTGAGGTGTATGAAGACGGCCCGAGTGATCATATACGAAGGAAAATGGAGAGTCACGGATGGACAATCAGTATTGCAGAATATGTGGAAGAGGACTCCGACAGGAATTTCAGTGACTTAGGAAATGATGATTATGGCTATCATAGGAGTGGTGATGATGATGACCATAATTATGATTTTGACAATGATAGTGACTTTTGGAGGAGAGCGGCTGACTGAATTCATCTACATTCACCAACACAAGCGACAATTGTGAAAGCAATCTTTGCCTGTGTCTGCTCAAACATGGAGAGGAAGACACGTGTCCACTATTAGGAGGTCATTGTAATTCCTCTTCCATTGCGCCAAAGGTGTGACCCAAAGGCCCACTCTCTACTGTACAGCAACAGGTCGCGGCCTGCGCGAGCCTGCCTCAAAATGATCCAGGCTGAAGAACAGAGCAAAGATTCTCCATCCCTTATGCGGCAATCCAATCTTCCACGACCGTCCGCGCCACCGGGGCCCTCCATGGCTCTGGCACTTCGCTCATCCGCGCCACTTTGGTCTTTGGCTCTGGTGCAGAACTCTTGCGCTTACGACCGCGTTTTCCCTTGCCCTCGCTAGCTTTATCTTTCGCAGCACGCTTCACTCGTGCCTCGCTGAGGTCCTCATAGCTCATCACCTTCGCCTTCCCTAGGACCACTGACTTGGTCGATCGGCGAACTTGGGCTTCGTTGTTCATTCTGGACAAGAATCGATTTTATCCTGAAGGAGGGCCCGTCCGGCAAATGATATTTGGGTGGCACTTGCTAGCTTCTGTACGTGCCTCTGTGGGCGCTGTTTGCTCGTTTCATCAAGTGTATAAGCGTCCCGTTTGTGTCACCATCAGACAAAAGAGAATCGGCAGGATACGGCGATCACACTTTCTCAACGATCGTTATCAATGACAGCGATAGCGAGCATCACCCCTCTCACAGTCGTCGAATATCTTGCTACCCTCGTCGATCGGTAACCCATGTGTAGATACGAACTACTCGACCTTCGGTCGAAGTCGTGCGTATGAAACTCTCTGCAGAAGGTGGACCAGACAAGAAAGCTATCCAATGTGCTAAAACTTAAAGTGCCCTGCGCCTAGCACTGGGAGCTGCTGGAGCAGACCCAACTTTATCGCGACGCATCCCGAAGACATACCCTCTATGGGTAAAGCCATAGGCATGCACATAACCCCAAGGCGCTAAGCATGCACCCCGCAATCTTTTTTCGCCCTGAATTTAATGCGCGTAATACGCAGTCGCTGGTGTTGATCCTGTAGAGGGTTCCCTGGAGGCTAGAGTTTAAATAGCCGATAAGCCTTATCATTTGGATTCGGCAATCCTCACTGCTCTCTCTCTTACGTTGGGTATACAATGAGGATCTAGACGTCAGTGTGTATGTGGTGGATTATTCAGACTAGGATTCGGTTAGACGGAAGCTCGAGGGTGAAGAGATGTGGACTGCAGAGTGTACTGGTATCTGGTTGCAGTTGGGGCACCAAACATTTGCACTATGGCTAGAGGGGCGGCTATACAAACACACACACACACACACACACACACACACAACCACGCATACCTGGTACACGCAATTGAATGATCTACTAAGTACCCAAACGAATGTGGCAGGAGGGCTGAGTGGGGGAACTCAGGTGCAAACGCTTGGAGTCTGCTTCAAAGCTACCGAGAGGCTATTCAGAACGGCCAGAAATGTGGTAGCGCGCTCTTGCACACGACTCAGCAACGAATTACGAGTCATGACTTTGTACCAATCCACCCGCGTCCTTCAAAGTTCTCTGCCTCCAGCGATTCAGCCGTCTCTTCGTCTACAGTGTCACAACCCTGATCCTGACGCTGTTTCTAGCAGATCTTGGGCTTTCAGACACAAAGATCGGGCTGTTCATGACCCTGACGCTGCTCGGTGATATCCTTTTGAGTGTCCTTCTTACCTTCACGGCCAATCGATTGGGAAGGCGCAATGTGCTATGTCTAGGTGCTCTCGCAATTACGATGAGTGGCGTTGTTTTTGGACTGAGCAATAACTTCTGGGTGCTGCTCGCCGCGGCGACTGTTGGGGTCATAAGTCCCAGGTATGGTTTCACCAAACGTACATCGGAGATGATCAGGTCTGGGACAGCTATCAATGGTTCATCTTAGCGCGAATGAGATTGGGCCCTTTCGTGCCATTGAGGTATCCGCACTCGCTCAGCTTACCCCAGTGTCGGCGCGTAGCGAGGTTTTTTCCTGGTATAGTCTTATTGGCATGATTGGACAGGCCCTTGGTACCATTGTCTCTGGCTCGGTGATCGAGGCCCTCGAATCGAGAGACGGCTGGACGACGGCCCGCGCGTATCGTATCATCTTCTTTGGTTACGGGGTTCTCGGAAGAGTCAAAATTGTACTGTGTTTGATGCTCAGTCAGGCTTGCGAGATTGATATCAAGTCGGTCAATCTTGCGCATCGGGGAAATGCTTCAGTGCCACCATCTGAAAATTCACGCTTATTGCCGGATGACGGCAAGAAAGACAAAGGAAGAAGGGGCTGGCAGGTTGCATCTTCAACAAGCAAGGAGTCTTTGGCAGCACTTTCCTCCTGGCACTAGAAGCCGTTGGTTCGGGGCTGCTTGTTACGTGAGATCTTTTAGACTTTTGGAGAGTGTGAATGCTCTGAAGCTGATCACAGGAGCAGGTCTTGGCTTACATGTTTCTTCAATCAGAAGTTTGTCATGCGAGAGAAAACCATCTACACCCTTCTCTTCATCGTATATATACCCCAAGCATTGTCCAATCACGGAGCATCGACAATATCTAAGCGCAAAGGTGACCCTCGTATTCCAGCAGGCAATATGCCGTGCTGACATTTTCTCTCCAGGCAATGACAATTGCGAGCCTCCTGCGCGGAGTGACAAGTGCTTGGATACCAATCTCACCATCCGCCACCCTAGCCATAGCCTTTCTAATCCTGCAGTCATGTACCCGCGTCGTTGGACTTCGCACTGCCTTTGTGGCCTCTATGTTTCTGCCCGCAGAACGTACCGTTGTCATGGGAATTACTAATGTTGCGAGGACGTGTAGCCAGAGCACTGGACCTACTGTTACAGGAGCATTAGGTGAATCGCGCATGTTTCGGGTGACATTTGTGCTTTCGGGGTCGATGTGCGCGGCTTATGGTGTTGGGACACAAGTCCTGTTCACGGGTCGTAAGCCGAGAGAAGGGAGACAGGACGAACATGATGAGGGTCGTGGAGAAGAGGACAGTGAAGCGGGAAGGTAACGTCAAGATAGATCTTCTGCCTGAGTGCTTCGGCTCTGTACCGATTACATTCGCTAGATACATTAATAACTATAGGCTACAAAGATGGTTCTAGAATTTTAAGTCTTGCCAAGACCAGCTCGTTTACCTCCTTACCAATTCACTTTACGAGTATGTGGCCTGGGTACCTTATTGTCTTCTATAGGTCCATTCACACTGGCGGGCGACCTGGAACCTGGGGGTAGAAAGGCTGGTGGCGTACCTTAGAGTACCCGAGGCCGGGGCGGCTTATGTAATATCTTGGCGCTCCGAGCTGTCTTGCCCGCCTTTTCTTGACTGCTTTATTTACGCAGTACCACCCACACACTCGCCCGACAATCATATACTGTTACCGCAGCAAGAATGGTGCTCGCCAAATCCAAGAATGCAGTGGGGCTGGGGAACAGCCTCATGAATGACCGTTTCGGCAGAGGCAAAGGCAACGACCGCAAGAAGGTCTCGGCAGGAATACACAGAACAGATCAAGAGGGACAGACCTATGTCACAAATGCCCCCAAAGAAGCATCATGGGTAAAAATGCGAAGTGTAACAGAGCAAGGTGCTCTTGATGAGTTTCTCAGCACTGCAGAGCTTGCTGGGACAGACTTTACCGCGGAGAAAATGAACAATGTGAAGATCATACATACCGATCAACGCAATCCATACCTCTTGTCAGCAGCCGAGGAAAGATCAGCTATCAGGAAGCAAAACGCGAACAAGAATCGTTTGACTGTACCAAGGCGGCCACCTTGGGACGAGACCACTACACCGCAAGCGTTGGATCAGAAAGAGAGAGCGAGTCTGCTCGATTGGAGAAGAGGCTTAGCTGAGTTACAAGAAAATGACGACCTCTTGATGACGCCCTTCGAGAGGAATTTGGAAGTATGGAGGCAGTTATGGAGGGTCATCGAGAGGTCAGATCTTGTGGTGCAGATTGTGGATGCCAGAAACCCATTGCTCTTCCGGTCAGAAGATCTTGAAAAGTATGTGAAGGAGGTCGATCCCAAGAAGAATAATCTACTATTGGTCAACAAGGCGGACATGATGACTTTGCCGCAAAGAGAAGCTTGGGCAGACTATTTCCAAGGAGTAGGGATCAACTACAAGTTTTTCTCGGCTTCGCTGGCGAAGGAGATGAATGAGGCAATGGACATAGATGCAGAGCCGGCCGAGAATGCTTCGGCGGTGCCAGACAAAGCTGTCGAGGAAGTAGTAGATGGTGCGGGTGACAAGCTCGCTAATGAGGCCGAGAAGTTGGATGTACAAGATGCAGAGGAGGACGAAGAGCAGTGGGCAAGTGAGGAGGATCTTGATGAAGAAGTGGATCAGCGAACGAGGATCTTGACTGTAGATGAACTTGAGGCTTTATTCCTAGAGAATGCTCCAGACGTCGAGAACACAGACCCGGAACATCCACGGAAGACGACAATTGGTCTCGTGGGCTACCCCAATGTTGGTAAATCCTCTACCATTAACGCACTTATCGGAGCGAAGAAGGTCTCTGTCTCATCAACGCCGGGCAAGACGAAGCATTTCCAAACCATACATCTCAGCTCGGAAGTCATACTTTGCGATTGCCCTGGACTTGTCTTCCCCAATTTTGCCACTACGAAAGCAGAGCTTGTCTGCAATGGAATCTTACCAATTGACCAGCTCCGAGAGTTTACGGGCCCTGCAGGGCTCGTTGCCCAGCGCATCCCCCAATCATTCTATGAGGCTCTTTACGGCGTCAAAGTGCAGATTCGACCCCTGGAAGAAGGCGGCACCGGAACACCAACGGCCGAGGAGATCTTGATCGCTTACGCTGTTGCTCGAGGATTCGCAAAGACAGGACAAGGACAACCGGATGAATCGAGAGCTGCGCGTTACGTGCTCAAGGACTACGTGAGTGGCAAACTATTGTTCTGTCACCCACCTCCCAGTGATCCTCCGGTTGATCCACGAGAGTTCAATCGAGATCTTTACGATGTCGAGCATCTTCCGCAGAAGAGGCGGGCCATGTTAGCAGCACAGGTAGAAGCTTCGATATCCGGCTCGGAGAATCCTTCATTGATGGATGATGCGGAGTCGCTTCCTGCAGTGCCTCTACAAGGAGAGAAGTCAAACGGGCTTGATAAGAGGTTCTTCGGACCTGGGCAAGGCAGTGCCGGACATTTGACTATGCCTTTTAATCACCAGTACAGTGAGCAGGGGAAAAGGCAGCTGACGGGTAGGAAGCTGCAGACAATGACGGCATTGGAAAAAAACATTGATCCTGCAGAATTGAAGCTGCTGAATTCCAAGAAGCATGGCAACGGAGGGAAGAGGAAGCACAAGGCGTCACGAGCTGAAAAGGCGTGAGCTACACTGTCTATCTTGGCTGCATAGCAGCGGCTGGCGTTCAAGGTTTTCATAGACGTTTGTTCTCCAGATACCCTCAGATAGACAAGGAACGTTCCGAAGCCTCTAAACGCCCCTCGGCCCTCCCGAACCGTTGTAATTCCGACCTCTTAAGGCCAAGTCTTGGCATGGAAAGAAGACACAATTCTGCGCCCACCAGTTGGCTGCTCTCCAGGGCTGCCGCTTTCACGCTGGGTAAGCAAAGGTGATACAGCACATCCCACCAGGATGGTCAGCAGTCTAGTCGGCATACCACCCGCCCATTCCCCGCTTATTCCCCGCTTATTCCCCGCTTCATGTTTTTCTGCCCAGCTCCGTCGAATTGGCTCGGAGATGGCTGCCATGATAGGATAAAAAAAAAGACAAAAATAAAAACCAAAATGTCCAAAATCTGAGCCACACCTGATTTGAACAGATAACCTTTCGATCTGGAGTCGAACGCGCTACCTAAACCAGGATTAGGAGAAGGTCAAACATACTGAGGTCGGGAGAACAAACCGTTGCGCCAGCGGCCCATTGACCAGACATTTAAATGCAACAAATATCATACATATTTACAAAACAGTTTCCTAGAAAATCTAATTCATTGCCGCATCAATACCTCTGTATACAACCTTACCACTGAGCTATACGTGAATATATCAAAAGTGGGAAACGCGTTTGTGATCATTCTGCCCAGTGCGCTTAACTGTCCTTGCCCTACCCTTGATTGCTTGTGACCCAATCCATGATCAATGACTTTGACTCATCTGGACATGACCTTATTGAGATTTGGCCGTTGTTTATCAAGTGAACTTGAGCTCGTCATCGCATAATGGCTAACGCTACGAAACGAGAAAGGAAAAACGACTGTGGTGTTACTACATAGCTTTGGGGCTGTGAGCTGGACACGCTATCAACAAGAGACTTGCGTGGTCCGGAGATGATTTCAGTGGCTCAATATCTCTTCCGTCTTGTCTTCAGTACCTCGAGATGCAGAATCTTTTTCTCAGTCAGATAGTCGAGATTGAGAACTGTGCCTGATGGTCTAGATCCTAATGTCCTGGACGTACCAAAACGGTGGTTGATCCATTTCGACATCCAGACAAACCTAGTCCTGGCGTCAGCTACTCGTTTAGGTACTTTTGACCTTGAGATTCGTACATCTCGATGGCATCTTTTACGCTCGAAGCCAAGTTCGAAGGTTCCTTTGCCCGTTCATCCGATAATCTATCTGCCAGGCTGGACGACGCAACCTTCGGGAAACACTTCCTCAATATCTTAATGAATTTCGACAAGTTTTCTGAGGGTGAGGTTGGGGTGGATTTCCGTCTTGGCGGAGTCATCAGTGCCGAGGCAAGTGAGTGTACGGTTTGTGGGGTAGACCGTAGAGCTGTAATTCCGGCCGCAGCATGGCAAGGGTATTTCCTACTGGAACGCAGGCTGTTTCTTTCATGCACGATGCTCCTCATGTTCATCTGTCAACTACACTTCTTGTAAGCAATTATGTCCAAGAGTGACTTCAGCCAGAATCTGCTCGCCAGCAGCCGCAAGCCTCAGACGGCTGCCGAGAAGATCCCCATCATTGCTCGGGGTGCTGTCAGTGATCGAGCAAAAGAGACTCTGAACTTGGTACTTCTCGACAATCTCAATTGCGTTTCAGTCAATTACTAATTGTCGCAACACAGGTAGAAAAGTTCGTCGAGGAAGAATGCGTTCCCGCAGACGTACTCTTCCACGCACAGGTGGGGGAGGGCGAGAAAAGATGGAGCACATACCCACCCGTAATCGATGAATTGAAAGCCAGGGCTA